ATATGAAATGTGTTTTAAAAAGGCCAATGAGGCGATATTCCATGTTTCAGTGAATATAATATACTTGCGTATACTTTTTATTTTCCCTTGAGTCTAAACAAAATGTTTTTGTATAGTTCGCCTACAACTGTAACATATATACATTCTAATTTATTGCACATCTTTATGTTTTTTTGTGTCTTCATTTTTTTCTGGATTTCTTTCATGTTGTATTTCTACGCTCGTCTTAATGAGTATACCACACTGCATTGAACTACACATTTACTTGGGTTTGTGACAAATAAAAGCTTTCCTCTCTACTTTAGTCAATAACTTAGACAGTTTAAATTCAAGATAAATAAACTTTCAGAATGTGGAAAAACGGTGACATTCAACCGATAACAGATTTTCTGTCATAAACTGATTGTTTCAAACTCAGGAAATAGTTATTTTTCTTACCTGGTTATGTCATCATTTCAAAGTAAAAGAGAGCTAAACAAACAAATGGTCAATCGTATTTTTAATAATGCAATTTTTAGCAGCACTAAAAGTACTAGATGTTCCCGATCAACATTTCAGTTTGGACTCAACATCACAGATATGCATCATGGAAAACAAAGAAAGTCTTTTTAGTCTGGCCATACTTAGATGTAACATTCCTGGCCGAACACACAGCTAAGGTTGCGTAACCCGACGGTGGAGGCTGCACCAAGTCCGCACAAAAAGCAGTGAGGTTGCATGATTGATCTTAGTCATCATGTGCAATGTTTGTATACAGACTTTAATTAATGGCAGGTCTCTGTCATCTTTGAGTAACATCAAAGCTCATACTAATCCACAAAACACATTTGATCTGAATAAGAAAGAAAAACAATCCCTGTTATTCTTGGCTTTGTGTTGTATTGTCGATACAAAAGGAGGAAAGAAAATGGATGAAAGGGTTTAAAACTCAAGCCTAATGAGTAGTTGATTTATAGAATGTGATTTCTGTTTAGACTGCTGGTTGTAATCGGCCTTAATGTGAGGTATTAATCTGGAGTAAATCTACAGATAAGCTTTTGACTTTAGTGTGAGCACTATTGTTTAGGGACCGTGTCCACACAGCATCTTCTTTCATTGGCTCCCGATGAGGAGAGAGCGCAGGCTCCGCCTTTTTGGTGCGGTCGCTCCGGGCGCTTTTTATTTACAAGGTTTGAATGTTTCAGCAAAGTGCTGGTGACGTCACGGAAATGGAGTAGACACTTGTTTTGTTTTGGTCGTGTCTATCTATCCTGAACTCGTTTGTCAGACGGACACGATCATATCAAAAGACCGAAAAGCTCATTTGTAGAAGCAGACCGGCCGGGAAGACACAGATTATTTCTGAAAAGTGCTTTTATCGGCAGCGCTCTCCGGGAGCTTTTCTGCCAGAAAAAGCCGGTATGTGGACAGAGGCCCTTAACCTCAAACTATTTCTGTATTCCATCACCCATTACCTTAAACACATGGGAAACAAGATTGCAGGCTTTAAAACTACGGTATAAACAAGTACTCACTTTTTGGAGTCATAAAAATCCATTGCTCTTTTGACCTTGTTGTACGCGGCGACTTTAAAAGGTACGATCTCCAGCGTGATGAGGCCCGGTGCCATGGTGAGGACCTTGGCGCCGTGAGTGGGCTCATACAGATCCTTCCCCGTTACCGGGTGGGGCATGCCTGCAGGGTCACGGCCCACGATGTAGAAGTTGGCTCCAGCCACCATTCGAGCTCTGCAATGCCACTGAACCTGTGGACAAGGATTAAAGAGAGAAAAACTGTAAATACTGTTAGAGAAAGTCTGGAATAAACAGTATGTATTCTTTGTAAAGCTACGAAGAGAAATAACATCTTTTTTACAATATAATTTACAATAAAGATTGTTATATTTAATACGATGGTTTGTAAATTGTCTTTACCTGGCTGTGGGTACTACAATATCTCACTTCAACCAACAACAATGTGTATAAGATTAGCTGAAAACTTCAGATATTTGAATTGAATATAAGCACTTATGGTTTCTGTTTGTCATTATCAATAACTGCTAAATCTCCACATTACTCCTGGACAGTTACTAAAACTACCGCCATTACGTTCTTGCCCATGTAGTCTGTACATTTTAGGATCTACACTTCCATATTTGGCTTAAAAAAAAACTTTATGGCAAGACAGACCCTGGAGACGCAGATTAAGGAAAATATGTTGTTTTTAATGGGTAAGAAAAATAAATGAAACAATGATACTCAGGCTGAGTCTGGCTCTCTAAACCTCCCATTCAGAATTACAAACTGAATAAACTCACTGCCCGACAACCACGAGCCTCCAATCTGCTCTTAATCATTTAGCTGTAGCTTTCTAATCATCGTAAATGAATGATTAAATGATTGCCAGCTACGCTCAGTCATACGAAGAGGTCTGTGTATGGCAAACAAACGCTCGACAGAGCGCCTCAAGTCAATCGCAAATCACCTTCCTGCCAGTTTTCACTCCAAAACAAAAAAGAGATCCAACATTCTTAATAACCATTACCTCAGTTGGGCCAGCATACATCATGGGCGAAGGAAAGATGGCCACGATAGTGGAATCTGGATTCAGGACGCCCTCCTCCAGCACAGCGGCGTGCTGCTTCATTCGCCAGGGCAGCGGCACGTCGTCGTCTTTGGTCCAACCTCCCAGCGGGTGGAGCAGCAGGACAGGCCGGCGGTAGCCTCGCTCGATGAGACGCTTGTGGGTGTCCTGCATCAGGAGAGCATGGCCGTTGTGGACCGGGTTGCGGAGCTGGAAGGCAAATACAGCATCTGAAAAGACAGAGAGGAGGAAGCTGAGAAGAGTGTGTATGACTGCAACCAAACACAACTGGACACATCTGTACAAAACAAACAAATCGGCCACAGTGGACCCAGAGATAATCAAGCAGCTCAGGGCCCAACTATTGAAACCTAATGCAGTGAAGTAAGAAAGCTTCCTGGACTCAAATAGAGTTCATTTGAGATGCTCTTTAAATAAGGAATTAAGAAGAAAACTCCAAGGCACTCTCTTTTAATCAGCTAAATGCCTTTAGTGTCAGCGAGGTAAAGGCTTCAGAGTTTGATTTCTGGGTCTCAGATGACTATGTCATTACAATAAGGGCATTTTAATTGTTTAAACGAGTGCCTTGGAGTTTTCTCGGGACTTTTCCATACAGTGAAGGACTGAATCTCCCCAGAGCTTTCTCTCCGATGACGTACCTAATCCGCGTCCCTTACTTCTTCCCCAAAGACTAAACAGAGAATAATAGCATGGAAGTGAGTGTGTCTTCTCCTTTTTTAAGAAGAAAAAAGGTTGAAGTTTATAAACATTGTGACACAACTGTATCTCTGAAAGTCCTCGGTTCAAGACGTCTTGGCCCATACCAGCATTCATTTCTTTAAACTTCTGTTTGAGCTCAGTGGGTGTCAGTCGGTACTGATCGAGTTCGTCATTCCAGTAGATCTTGTCCAGAACTTGCAGGTCTCCCCCAACCAGCCAGTCCCCGCTTTCCATCACCATCTGAAATAGGAGTCACAATGACAATGACGGGGGAACAAAACTCAAACATAATCCAGACTTTAAGACACCGTGGCCCATAAAAACTTCACCGTGTTGGAACCGGGCCAGAATTCTCCTAAAACTCCCGAGTTATTAGCCAGTTGCAACGACGACACACCAGCGTAAATCAGAGTCTGTGGCGTCGTTAAAACAGGCAGCCAGACTCTGGCATGTCCACTCTTTTGGCCACATCTACTACCTGAATTTCAAAACAGAGCAGAGACATCACGAGATTGTACTCCACAATAAAAACGTGGTGAGGATCCTCATGAGCACATTGGAGAGAAATGTTCCCCCTCAACAGATTTATCCAACAATGTCACAGAAGTGCTCAGGATCCAGGCAACGGCTGCTATTGTTTCAGGCAATACCTTTCGCCTGCCTCGTGTGGCATTTATGAGACTGTAGCTAGAGTTACTGAAAAGACTAACCTGTGCTCTGTTAATGTGATACAACGCGACATCTCTCTACAGGCTCCGCAATACAACGAGCACACCGAGAGCTCAAAACAAAGGCCACGAATGAAACATGAAGTGTTGCGAAAAAAGACGTTTTGGAATCCGATGAAAAAAAAAAAAAAAAAAAGTCACTAGTTTCATTCAACATGTAATTTATCATGAGAGTAAAATACGCAACAGAAACTCTTTGAGATCCATCATTTACAGACTGATTTCAGTTTGACCTGGCAAGCGATATGTAAAAATCAAAGTTGTCAGCAGTAGAGGTGTCTACGTGATGCGATCAATAACCACTTGGCTCCGTCGTAACAAGTATTCAGGATCATGTCGGGATTTGTTTTCCACACTCCGATTAATCCAACGTGTCCACTGTTGGCCTGAGAAGAGTCAGAACAGATGCCCAACAGTCTTACTCTTAAGAGATCAACAGCGTAGACATGTCGCAATTTATTTTCCTGACATAAGTGAGTGGAAAAACATAACGTCTGCATGGCTACATCAAAGGAGCGGGTCCACCCTCTCTACACATGTGCTCCGTTTAAGCCGTTATAAGTGCCCCAGGACTTCACATGGGAAAATAAACACACTACACCATGGTTTCCGATGAAGCGGGCTCCCGTCTGACTGACGGACAGGTAAACAGGAAGAAGTGGATTAACTACGTGTAATATGGAGCAGGTCGTTTCTGCTCGGAAAGAGACAGGATAATAAAGTTGTAGCTACCAGCAGAAAGGTGCGCCGAGCACTCCGGCTCCGGGAGTTAAGCACACACACACACACACACACACACTTTTTAATGAGTGACGCCCTAAATCACGGCAAGCTGAGCACACATGTCCGGCTGTGACGAGTTAGAGCGGATAAAGAATGACAGTTGTGAAAGGTGTTGACACTGGAGAGTTATGGGACCAATTTATGAAACTGGCAGCCTCCTGCAACCTAAAACACATTTCCAGGCCAGATTTAATCACCAACAAGGTGAGACAAAAACAAAAAAGATATCTGCTGAGGAGGAAAAATGACAACCAGGTTCGCTGAAATATTGAGAGAGCTGCAGTCTAGTGCTCGAGTTAATCTCCTTTAGAATGAGACAATGATGTTTACAGTAAGTCTGACCCCAGGGGGGGAAAATGACTAAATACCATACAGGTTACTTTCCATTTCGTCTTGCACCTTTGCCAAAACACAAGCTGCATTAATCCTGAAAACAATGGGATTTAAAATGAGTCAATGCACACGGTGCTGGGGTGGATTTATAAAAAGCCAATCTGACAACTATTCTTGTCTGTAACACCAGACTGGTCCATTCTTTTCCAACAAGCCAGTGCAACTTTAAGCCCGGTGTGCAGGATCATTTCGGGACATTATCTCGTGTCTACCTGTGCCCCGCAGCCGTCGGTCGGAGACAGATGGAAACAATCCCTGAATATATTTGGAGAAGAGTTGGGTGAGCGGGAAAGGTGGAAGCTGGCAGGGATTCCGCGGCCTGTTGAGTTTAGCAGCACAATTTCAACGCATTTCCTGGAGGCTGAGCGAGAGAATAAGCATCCAAATATAACACCTGCACAATGAGGGTGGACCAAACAGATCAAGTGATTGTACTGGGCGTCCTGACAGACTGTGAGAGAAGCTCCACCTCCTCCTATTCAGTCTTTCCATAAGCAATGTGAAGAGGCCAGCTCGGATCTGTGTTCGATCAGCGCTGAAGCCAAGGAGGCAGTTTGCTTTCGCATGCAGTGTTTATCACACTGAGACAGACCGTCTGCAGCTCCTCAGTACTCTTACCACGGTGGTACTTTTTGGGGTTTCCGACAGCATTTCCAACATAATTAGCCTATATTCAGTTTTCAAATGTACCTTGATGTAAGGGTGGTCTTTGCAGGTGGTGCCCCACTGACGAGCACATCGCTCTTCTTTGCGGTGTTCATAAAACTCAGGGTTGCGAAGGATAGCCACTCGTCTGCCGCCGTAGACCAAAGCCACAGCCGTCACCCCTTCTAACCGCTCTTTATCTGTAGTAGACACCGGCAGCACCACAGGCACCGACAGGTTAATGACGCCACCTAGGACAATGGAGAACCAAGAACATTTTCATGAGGGATAAAAGGCAAATACATTCGTATTTTTCCATTATCACGTAATCTTCAAGAAAGCTCCACAGGGAACCTCTAATATCAGATAACCATCCAAGAAAAACAATGTTCAGGACCCCGATGCAGAGCACCGGGAGACTGAGAGCAGATATCCTATTAAAGGCAGGTTAAAACGTTCAAAGGGTTAGTACACTCAACAAAACAGCTCAACCACTCTGATCAAGTTTCCATTCTGTACCCCTTTGGGCTAAATGGGGGATATATAGCTAAACCACAGGCTACAGTGAGTCTTCAAGGCTGCAATTTAAGAAGCCAGAGGAGAAAAATCCCCTTTTAAGCTAAGCTGGAGCTTGACCCTCTCTCGTTCTATAATTTGAGCGGAGCAGTGACGGCGTTCTTGTTGGCGTGGGCTTCATCCAGGTTGATGAAAACGTTTGGACCGGCACGCTTTTCACATCCCATCAGATCAAATGCAGTGGAAACAGGACGGGACGCTGACTGTTACCGGCTCCCGGCTCCCCCCCGGACCCTCTTCTCGTCCCCTCTATCACAGTGTAGGGCTCACAGCTGGTTCCAATAAAAACACACACACACACACACACACACACACACACACACACACACACACAACTGCCAAATGTCCGAGCGAGAGAGACGCAAGCTTGGATTTGGGTCTTGGTTTATTTTTGCAGACTATTTGATTAGTCAAACATGCAGTTTTCTGATTCCCGACCAGCTTTAGTGCAGTAGTGTGGGTGATCAATCCTTTCACGGTCAAATCCCTGGAAGGAAGTGAAAATGGACAAATGGTGGTGTGTGGTGTCAATCAATACAGAAGCTTCTTCCTCTGTTACCGTCTCCCTCCGGAATCAAGACATTTCACATCAATATATATTTTCACCTATGTCTGTCCAGACGGCTCCATTTCTCCGGCTAGCTAACTTTCGGAGGAAAGACCGTAAATCATCAAGTTGTACGAACTTGAAGGTTTTATCCCTCAGTGAGGACAGAGAAATATATAACCTGTCAAAATCTGAACATGAAATACTGGCTATGTTAACTTTCAATTAATTTCATGCATTTTTCCTTTTACTATGCGTGTAGCAAAATATCTGGCATCACAACACACACACAACTGTGTCTTGAGCGGTCACATGGGCAATAAAAGTAAATCGACTTTTTCTTGGAATTTCAAGCAATACATGAGAAATTGCTGTAATTACACCAAGAGACTCTCCATCAAAAGTAATATTCATATTCTGAAAAGTGCCAAATAAAAACCAAAAAGGTATTTCTGAGACTTGGGTGCAACTGGACTTATTACTTACACCAGCATAATCTACAACAGCGTCATTCTTAAAATTCTGCATCTAAATCATGTCTGAGTATATCAATGTGTCATCCTGCGATATGGCTGAGCTGTACATCACTGCTGTGTGATGGAGCTTCTTCAGCTCGCAAGAAAAACAAAATGTATTTAAGCCGCTCAGCACATCCAGCTGTGCAAAATATGACTAGCAGTTTGCAGGGACACATGCAGAGAGTAGTTGTTGAACCTAATTTAATGCTCCATTTATATTAGAGTGGTCAATTTTTATATTAAAGTAAAAAAAATATGAGAGAGGAGCACATAGACCTACAGCTGACGGAGATTTGGGGTTCAACTGATGGAAATAATACAAAACATCCTGGAGCTCACTGTGCACAAGTTCTAGTATATATATATAATACATACCTCTATCTATATCTATAGATATAGATAGAGGTATGTTGTGGGTGTAAGAACTGACCTGATGTACCGACAGAAAGCCATCCACTACCTCTGAGTAATCTATTTTGTGAGCACTCATCTCCATCTAGTGCCTTTCTCAAGTATAGCAACACTGAATTTTACAATGAAATAGGAAATTGATATTTTCCTAAAGAACACATCTTACCGTCCAGCAGACAGTCAAAGTGAAGACACTGCAAGTACTCTCTCTCTCTCATGAAGCCATTCAGAGGCGTGGCCCAGCCTTCAGCCAGCACCTGCACCCACTGCATGTCCACCTGAGGGTCGCATACACAGTCACTTATTGACCATCAACTTATAATATGCCGTTCAAATGAAAAGGATAGAGGTCAATGTTTACATAAATTTAAAAAATAACTCCTCAATTTACATACAAAGCCCATAAATAGTCATTTAGCTTCATTTATTTATAAAGATTTATGAAAATCCCTAAAGAAACTCAGAGGTACCTTCCCAATCTGTACAGCGGGCAGAGTCTCTGCGTCAGCCTTAGCCAGGTCCAGCTTATTCTCCTGAACGTACAGCTCTTTCACTTCATAAGAGGCATCAATGGGAACGATGTCCTGCAGAAAAACAACGTGAAATGATTAACGACAAGTCAATCATTACCAAACATCCTGCGGAAGCAAATATTTAGTAAAGGCTTACTATTAACAAAAGAAATATTGATTTGCATGACACAGTGTAGATGTTGTAACAGTTAGAGGTTTTCAAATATGAGGCTTTACTGCCCCTGGTGGCCAACAGGAGCGATAGCACAGTCCTATGTATAGTTTGAACTGTGTCTATGACGGTTGCGCAAATATTCTTTAAATGCGCCATCGCTAATAAAAACCAACAGCGGCTGACTCTAAACAAGTCAAAGCAGGATTATTTCTCCCCCTCACTCTCTCTTGAAGCAGGTCAACAAGCTGTTGTATGGACTCATTCACGCTGCAGGAGTCGGTCTTCAGCACCAGGTCCGGGGCCTCTGGCTTCTCGTACTCGGAGTCAATCCCAGTGAAACCTGATGAAACAAGAGAAGACATTTCAAATCCTTTAACAAAATCCTAATTTTAGATAAAAGGCGTCATCAAATTAAATCAGTTAGTTTTTTTTTTAAATAAACTTTCTTTGAACAATATAAGAGCCAGTGCTTTGTGCACGGCAAGAAGGAGAACAAACTGTTTTTTAACCGCTTTGATTGCAGCAGAATATTTTGTTCGGTAATAGAAATTACGATACATTTTGACTCTAAACAAACAATGTTTCAACTATACCAAAGACAGAAGGGAGACTAAAGAAGGTCAATCTTAGCTACAAAACTCTGGAAATTGGGTAAAGATCTCTCCGCTGCTAAAGATAAACCCAACTTGCTGCACCACAATATGATAAGAAGCACTTCCTCTAACAGTGATGCATCACTTTTATTCTCACTGTCATGTCATTTCTGTGTAATTTGACAAGATAAGCATAAATTGAAACAGGAAGCAAAGTCTGGGAAATGATGGTATTTCCATGTGTCATACAACAGCAGAAGTCCCACTGATGAACATGTAAATGCTTTGTAGATGTGTCTCCTGAGAAACACGGTAATATCTGCCCTCGGTTTTGCATTTATCAACAAAGTACTATGTAAGAGACGTCACAGTATGAACCCAGAATGGATCACATGACAGAAACAATAATCCAGGCCTTGGATCTACTGACCGCACTAAAGGATACTCCACCTTGTATCTCTCCCGCTCTGGCTCTCTTGTACAGCCCCTTCACGTCCCTCTGCTCACAGACATCCAGTGGAGCGTCCACAAACACCTCAAAGAAAGGCAGCCCTGCCACCTCGTGGATCTTCCTCGCATTAAGGCGATCCTGACAGACAATAACCAAATACACAGCGAGGTACACACATGATTTAGTCAAAGAGTTAGTAGAAGATGGCATGTTACTATTAAGGCTCATTGTGTTTGGTTTTTCATCAAACAACAATGTTTTCTGCAGCAAGCACAGCTCAGAATCATCAATGACAGACAGTAATGGGGAAACAAATATGATGCTAATCGTGCACCACGATCCTTCATAGTACTGCAAGTACAACAAAATAAACAGCTGTTGCGCTGCAGATGTAGTAGGAAATATTTAAATTCACTTTTTTAAAGAATAACTTTAAAAAAGTGAGCCTTGTTTGTTTAACAATCAGGGCAGGAACAAAAAAAAGCCTGCCTTCAAAATCTCTACTTTATCATTTCAAATCTATTGTTGGCACTGGCGTCATAATTTTCAGCAGGATAATGATAAGACAGTGACATGATCAGTGACATCATCATAATCAACCCAAGCTCAATAAGTAATCCCAACAATAGCAGAAAGCGGTTCACAAAAGGGTCGTAGTTCATTCAAACGTGGCTCAATAAAGATTGTATAACAGAATAGGAGTCCTCTGTTTCTCTCATTAAACATTCAGAAGGTGATGCTGTCTTTTGAGAGTCACTCACCCTGCTGTAGGGGGAGATGAAGCTGGCGATGCAGACCAGCCCAGCATCAGCAAAAAGCCGAGCCACCTCAGCAATGCGCCTAATGTTCTCTTCACGGTCCTCTGGGCTGAAGCCAAGGTTTTTGTTCAGCCCCTGGCGGATGTTGTCCCCGTCCAGTGTGTAGCAGGGGATACCGTGACACACCAGGTACTCCTCCAGAGCCATGCTCACTGTGGTCTTTCCTGCGCCAGACAAACCTGGGCAAAGAAGACAAAACAACAGAATTATGAAACAGCTACGACATGATATACACGTGTCGAAAAAACACACCCTGGTAATAAAAATAACCTACCACTCAGCCAAACGGTGCATCCTCTGAACCCTCCTCGTGTGCCCACAACCTGCCCGCGCTTGTTCCGGCTGACATGATGAGCTTGATAGGTGACATTAGTTGCACGTTGCATTCCCTGTAATTATACAGATTTACTGTCAATGCAAACCACTTGCGGCCCAATTATACAAGTATATTAAAAAAAAAAAAAAAAAAAAGATAGGCAGTTTATATGAACAGATCACATTAGCTCTTCAAAGTAGCTTTAAAAAATGGCTTCTCAGATATAAACTGTTTGCTCAGAACATGCATGTAGAGCATTGAACATTATGAACAAAGCTGATGTGTTCAAACTATTTATCCGACCATCAGTCCAAACCCACAGTCACGACACAACTGTCATAATAAGGCTTTCTAGGTTAACTAATTGTTTGATTCTGTACTTTTGTGAGTGTGTCTGCTGGTGTTGTTTTGTGTTTTTTAGATGCATGTTGGAGGACCACAGTGTATGCATGTTACATATTTTATCCTTGATGTCTGTAAATACCGCAGTTCAGAGTTAGCGGTGTACTTAATCATCAGAGAGGAATACGTGCAGCAGAGGGTTAGCTGGAAAAAGCTAACGGATGCAAACAGTGTTTTGTTGATCGTTTTGGTGGCAGCAACCACCAAGGTTAATGTTATCACAGCTTTAGATTCAATTAAACAAATAGTTGAAGCCCTTCACTTAACTATTAACTGATTAGCAACTTCTCAGTCTCGCGCTGCTAGCAACCAAGGCTTTAAACGGAGAGCTAGCATTATAGCGGTGTAACGTGAAGGAAGCTAATTAGCCGAACAGTTAGCCTGTTAGCTCGTTAGTAGCTGGTTAGTGGAGGTGGACGGGTGTGATACATGTTGAATCAACACAACTTAATAACTCACCCAGTTTTGGCCAGCGTTGCCCAGCTTCGGTTTCTTGTGCGAGTTGCCGTACGTGTCCATGTTTGTAGCAGTCAGCCGCTGTCTCTTTAAAAAATACAACGATACAACTACTTGTCTCTTTATTTGCTAGACCAGATTTAATTATATTTGTTTTGGCACATGTAACTTATCGCCAATGAACGGAGGAACCCGGAGGTGCTTGGCGCGACAACCAAGGATAACAACCGGGAAGCGCTTCCCAGCAGCCACGTCCACCGGCGACGGAATGACGCATTTCCTCAGTAGGCGGGTCAGAGGGACAAACTGATCTGATGTCAGTTTTGTTTCGTTGTCTTCTGTAAGCCCCACAGCAACTGACTGATCTGCAACCAGTTCTTACAAAGCAAAGGGGTTTTGTCGTTACAACATGATCAGTTCTCGTGTGGATATGAGATTTAACTAATTAATATGAATATTCAGGTTTTGAAAGTAAGAACTGTAGAATTACTGATATTGCTTGAAATAACGTGATGTGAAATTACTTTAAAAATTTGAATGACTCATAACCAAATAAGCAAGGAATACATTGTAATGGATTTATAATTGCATTTTATCTTACGCTTACATTATTAAATAGTAAAAATAGAATTGTAATCTATTATTAAAACATCGTGCTGCTACTCCTAACTGCTTTAAGATGCTAGTTTCGCAGACCTGTTCTACGTGCAGTTACAGGGCGATGCCTGCGCTGATTACAGGACAGTTACTCTGAATTAAAGGGGATGCGAGGCTGGAAGCTGGGTGCACAGAGGCTGGATGGATCTGATCATATGTGGGGCTTCGGGGAGGAGCACTCCCTCAAAAGCGAGCAGCACCGTCGTGCAATGTAGCAGTCCAGCCTGAGCGGCGACCAAGCAGCATTAGAGATTCAAGGAACTGCAACTACAGGAAGAGGCGCTAGGAGGCCCGAGCAAAGCAGGTAGGATGCTATACACTGTGCAACATGTGTATCGAAACACAGATCTTTATCTTCTCGTCGGTATGTGTTGGGTTTCATGTCTTTAATTGCGGCATTGATGTATGGATCTTTAACAGGATGGTAGCCTACAGCCGGATTGGTTTTAATGCTCCTGACATTCAACTTTTTTTATCAGTCTTGCTTAGAGATAGAGAAATACACTGTGAATATGAATTATAGGAGACATAGATCTCTGAATTCTCCTTTGCAGTGTAAGACTCGAGGCATACATTCACACAAAAAGTTTTATTTGGTGGATCAATAGACATGAGCTGGGAGACTACGTGTTTATGGTATGCTGATGTCAGTTACACACAGCATTTATCAGGGTATTAATCAGTAGCATCACGTGACATACAGAGACTAACAGACAAGTTGTCAGATAAGCCTAACATTATTTCTGAATTGTACAGTATGTACCCAGCACACAGACTGTGTATGCTTGCTTTCTCTGCTTTAATCCCAATTTAATAATTCAGTTGTCAGTTTCTAATAGCAAGAGCTTTGACTGAAAATGAGAGTGCTTAATTACAGGATTTGCACTGATTTGTTGCCCCACCCAGTAGCCTCATATGGAACATGGTGTTTAACACTGTCTGTGGGGCCACTGTGCTACACCCCAAAAGTAAACTTCAAATCCAGCTGTGCTGCACACACCACATGTGAGAGACTGCTGTCCTGTAATAACTGGGATGCATGGGAGACACCCAGTCCTGACCCTGGCATTACTGCCAGAATCTACCCTGCATGTGGTTAAGGCAACCAGAGACATAAGGGTGGCTCCATGCTCAGTGTGACCATATTGGCTTGTATGCTATAAAAGTGGATATCTTTTTAGAAACTAAACAACATTTATTATTTCTGTCAGCACAGAATGTGCATTTGTGTGTTTTGATTTACGCAACACAGTCAACTAGTGTTATAGTCATGGTATCCAGTACAGCAAGTGAATATCATTCTGGTATTACGAAAGGTTTCAAACATCTGCTCTCTGTAGTTCACTTTATTTGTTTCCTGGTGAATGAATATGCAGTATTGTTAGTTACTGCTACTATGATGTCAACTAAGCATACTTTCTACTACTGTAACCATCTACTACTACTACTAATCAGTGGTAGAAACTAAGGACATTTACTCAACTTTGGCATACTTGTACTTTACTTATTTTCATTCCATGCTACTTTATACTACTGTTACGCTACATTTTGGAGGGAAACATTGTACTACTTACTGCAGTACATTTAGTTGACAGCTATAATGTGGAGGTTAAGAGTTTAGGTAAAAAACATATGATGAGTATATATAATATGATGCATTGTCTTATATTAAACTAATTTACTGTTAGAATTTACTCCACCTGAACCAGCTACAACAGAGACATTAGTGCATCAGTATCAACAATCTAATTATATGATACATAATGATATAACACGATGATTTTTATGCATAAAGAATTTTTTCACCTTTTTGACTTTAAGAACATTCTGTTTAACTGTACCTTTTATAAGTAGACTATTACTGAAGTAAATAATCTGAACTTCCTCCACCAATTATATGACTGAGAGCTATTTTTAAAAAGCATGTCTCACAAAGCACAAAGACATTTATTTTTATCACAAAGCCATTCACAAACATTCTGACAATCTGTTTCTGAACTGAAACAAAATGTGGTAAAACAAAACTAAAACACAAACATGATGTTCTGCTGAACATGCCGTTTCCATGCTTGATTTACAGCCATTGCATTTTATAACATATGGAGTCCACTCCTCTCTGTAGTGCCTAAAGGGGCTGGGCCACCTCTGGTGTGTTTTAACCCTCCCTTTGATGAAGACAATCCACATGATGTAAAGAAGAAAATGAGTGGACAGCAATAGTAGCATGTTATTATGAAGGTCCCGAAATGGAGTCAAAGCCTTGCTTCCCCTGGAGTAAAATACAGTCTTCAAGGCAACTGGGTGGCTTTTCTTGAAATAGCTTGTGCGAGTGGAAGCAGCCAAGTTATCCATTATGGCCTGTGACCACGTGGAATAGGTTTTTCTGCCAGTTTTCCATCACCACCCATCCTTTTAGAGTGCTGGGTGCTCCGGCTGGTGGGAAAACACAGTGTACGTACACTGGGGAGGAGAGGACTGGTGGAAAACTGGTCTGAGACACTGATCTCCCATGTACAGTAGTGCAGCCTCACAGTGAACACTGGAAAATACAAATATTGACTACCACACTGATCTGTCACAGAGTATGACAATACATGACAACATAAACTATTGCAGGTTGTTCAAAAGAAAAACACACAAAGTATTGTGCCTCTCCAACAATTTTAGACAGTAAAGTCAATAATTACAACAACTATGCCCTATAAGATAAAAATCAGAACATACAGACTGTGAGAAACTACCCTCTCCAGTCAAAATATGACATTTTAAAATGAATGAAATACTCAAAACAACTTAAAATATCCTTTTGTTTTCCTTACAAGTGACCTCATGTAGCTGTGTGAATAATAACTGCTTTATATCTCCACTTCTATTGTTAACTATGACCACAATCTTTTTGTAACCTTAACCTTTGAAAGACTTTGAAAAGAGTATTTCGACAAAAGCATCCCAACTCAAAAGTCTGCTTACTAGCTTTTTCTGGAACTTTCAACATAATGCAATCTTGAGTTGGGACTGTTCATATTTAATCACGTCGTTTTCTTTTCTTAACGCTGACAGTAATATTTCCCTAACCATAAACTAAGTAGTTTTACTTTCCTAACATTTCCCAAACCTTAAAAAACTTCATGTCAGACGTAACAGCGGTGTTTCTTTGCCCTCTCTACTTGAAGCCGTCTGGAGTTAATGTAAATCAAGTTTTATTGTCACACAGCACATAGTGAAACATAGCCTCTGCATTTAATCCATATTAGCAGTGGGCAGTTACTGTACAATGCCCAGGAAGTAGTTTGCGCGTTTTGTGCCTTGCCCAAGGGTACCCTAGCTGTGACGAGGCGAACTGGTCTGTTGCAGGGACTTGGTCAATCATCCGGTTTCCAAGCCAAGCCCCCACAGACTGAGCTACTGCCACCCTCACTACTGCCGCGTGTTGCACCCCTCACTACACCCAGCATCAACACCACTGTGAGTCGCTGATGTCATGCGCTGTCACAGTGTCTCATTAATCACAGTCTATGGAGCAGCAGCAGGATTTGTTTCTAGATGACACTGTCACCACAGTCGGTCTCTCTGATGTTTATCTTGAGAACAGACATCTTGAAATTATTTTTTAACTGAGCTGGTTATTTAGAGAAGTAAAAAAAAAAAAAGGTATATTCCAAAAAACAATTGGACACACTTTGGTACATCAGAAACAAAGTGACTACATGAAAACATAAATGTTCTTGACGTATAGGTTCACAACTTACAGTATAATCAACCACATAGCAACATAATCTCACTAATAACAGAAGGGACATGGCATTGTAATTGGCTCATATTGTTTGTCTGCTCTTGTTGATCTTATTTGCCGTCTTAGTCTCATTTATATACTTTATGACCCCTTTAATTCCCTCAAAGTCTGTCAGACTTCATGTTCTGTAGCCAGCCATCAGTTGCACAACAGAGGTTGAATCTGCGGTGGGTTAGTCAGAGGGCATCCTACAATAATCCTTTCTCCGCTGTAATAATATTTTCCCAAAAATTGATTCTTAGGAAACTGATACTTTCAGCGGCTCTCTCACCGTATTTATCTCCTCTTTTTTCCCAGTGCCAGGTTTGCCTCCAGGTAAACATACCATTCTGTATGTATCCCAGATGACATTTATTGTGATGCATTTCAGGGCTGATAGCATAATCCTCAAATCCATTAACGGAGCTGTTAAAGGGACTAGAAGGCTTTTAGACATGAAAGAAGGAAAATGGTCATTGCTGTAGTGCTCTCTCAGGTCATTAACTGAGAAGAGCTCAACAACAAACATTGTAGTAGCACGTCTCCAACTTTGTCTTCTGAGTGTCATTAAAATACATTTAACTCTGGCTCCCAACAATCCACCATATTATTGTGGACATAACAGCCTCACCACTAGGTCCATTTAGTAGCTGGAGCTTTGAATCGAATCACACTGGCTTCCTCAGCAGATGGAGTTTGCCTTGTTGTCATGGACTTTTAAGCCACCCTGGGCAAGTAGTCCTTGAGATGTGCATAAAAAAATAGACACATGGCGCAATGCGATCAAAAGCTCCAGAACAGCTGAATTGAACATGGTGATGGTGAGATTGTTTTGTAAACTACTGTTTCTAAGGTCAATAATACACTTTTAATGTCAACAAGTTTAGTTTAATTTAGTTTTAGTTAGTTTAGCATTCATATAGCTTAACACTTTTATAATGAGCATGCAACTGACGATGATTGACCATGAAAACTGCTGAAGTGACGATAGCAGCTGCTTGTTGAGGATAAAGTCTGAAAATGAAAGCAGTGTGGCGGAAAGACTTGGAAAGGCCCAAAATAAAAGTCTGACTCAACCTCCAAACAGAAAACTGTCACAGTGGTTCTGGTGAATGTCCAGGGGAAGGAAAATGTAACACACAATGTTAACTCATACAACCACATTGGTATAGTTGGCTGCTATAAACTCCAAAATATTTTTCCAGTCTAAAATGGACATTTCAGCCCGTGGAATCAAGAACTGTGCATCAATAAAAGCTTTGCTAATCCCTAGGATAAGGAAGAGGGAAACAAAAGTAAACCAGAGTTCATCTCCTCCCTGTTTCTCATCAGTTTGATTTGACATCATTGCAACAAGGAGTACCTGCTTACCTTCCATCTTGTTCAAATGACAAGAGCGTGCTTGTGCTTTCCAAACCGAAGAGTTTGTCAGTTTTTAAACCGTTAGTTTTCTCTCATTGCAGCTAATAAGCCTCAACCCAGTGGAGCGGTGCCTGTGGATGGACAGTGCAGGCACCAATGGCGTCACAGGAGCTTGTGGATGCGAGAGCCACCGATAATCTGAACCCAGGAATGGAGGATGGTGCCGCGCCCAGCAACGGTAAAAACTGTCCTGTCCACACGCCTGGTGGAGAGGATACAAAGAGGGGCTTTCGGAAAGGCATAGGGAGGCATAATGACTATGTCAAGATTTCCGTGCCAGAGTCCAAGGTCAATCGTCTGCCCATGGAGTGGTGGAAGACAGCGCTGGCCTTCTTTTATGCTGGCTTTAACTTGGTCCTGACGACAGTCGTCATCACCATTGTCCACGAGAGGGTGCCGCCGAAAGAAAGCAGCCCGCCTCTTCCTGATAAGTTTTTTGACTATATTGACAGGGTCAAATGGGCATTTACGGTGACAGAGGTCAACGGCATGGTGCTGCTGGTCATTTGGATGATCCAGTTGTTCTTCTTCAGATACAGGTAAGAACCTTTGGTACTATATATTGTACAAGGTGTAGGTCTGGGGACCAAAGACCAAAACAAACAATGAACTGATCCTAATAATAAGTATTGTCTGGTCAGCAACAGTCTTATAGCTTATTGTTCTATGTGCCATAGTCCTTCATTGTTGTCCAAAAACTATTAAAAACTCATGATTGTTTAAAAAATATAATAAAATACAGAATAACACCAGGTTCGCCTTTTAATGTATGGCTGCAGGAAAGGTTATACACAGTAGGCTACAGTGTTTATTTGCCCAAAGAAATAGTTAACTGTTTTGTGGTTAGGTGTTGTAACGTATCAATGCTCTTTACGTCTCTTCCCGTTACTCAGGAAATGCATCACATTGAGGCTGCATTTGTCTTTTCTGCATTGGGGGTTTCCCTGTATGTTCAACATGAATAGTTTAGAAAGTAGTCTTTGATCTTTAGCCGGCACCATAACCAGACCACTGAAGTTTAGCTGTTGCTGAAAATGTTTAATTTGACATCAATCTCTTCCACATTTAGTCCATTTGGCTGTAAAGATATAGAAACAAAAATTTGACAGTAAAATGGGCATAGAGCAATGCCAGCAAAATGACCAATGACATATTTAACACTGTAACAGCTGGAATTGTTAGTGTCATTGTCAATATGTGGTCTGGTTAATAACAATCAATTTGACTTGCTGAGCAGGAGCCCTCGGAGTCATCGTCACACTGCACAAGATAGTCTCCGGAATTTAGTAGATTTAAGTAGATGTTTGACATAAAAATACACAATATATCTGCACTCACTCCGTTGTGGCTCTTATACTCTCTATTTGCAGATCAATAGCAAGCAGGCGGTTCTTCTTCCTCATTGGCACCCTGTACTTGTACCGCTGTGTCACCATGTACATCACCACCCTGCCTGTGCCTGGCATGCATATGACTTGTGCTCCTAAGGTGAGAAGCATGTAAACATCAGAGCGGGCATCAGCTGTCGTTGCTCAACCGTGTACTCTCGTGCACCCTCTGGGACTCATTTTGCACAGCAACACAAGAGAGGCAGCTATAAAAAAGCCATTTTGACTTTTTACCGCCTCAGGTCATCAACAATACTGGAGGTGCATCAGTGTTTCATCAAAAACATCTGCTCCGAGCTGTTGTTTGATGGTTTGTGTTGTACAAAAGGATCAGAGGTTCGACAGTTCAGGAGTTGTTTTGTTCTCGAGAATTTGAAATGTTTTGGACAGCGTATGAAAGCCTTCAGCTACTTGTGAGAAGTGAGTTATCCACAGTTATCCACAGTAATTCCAGCAGCAGAAGCACAAGATTCGATCATGTGTAGTTGATGATACTGTTACAATACTATACTTTGTTTTACTTTCTTTAATTACTCTTCATGCCGACTCCATGTTTCTCATCCCTGTCAATTCCAATTATGTTGATTAGAGTTGAAACAAATTTCAATTTGGGAAATACACGTATTCGCTTTCTTGCTAAGAGTTAGATGGGAAGATTGATAGCACTGTCATGTCTATACGGTTAATATAGAGCTACATCCAGCAGCTGGATAGCTTAGCAGAGCGTACAGTTTGGAAACAGCGAGTCTGGCTCCGTCCCTGTGCGGTTTGACAGGTGGTTTTCTGTCAGACTATTTCTTGTTAAGGTGCAGTAATTGCCATGAAGTATTTTATCAAGCAAAAATGCAATCTTTTTTTTTTTTTTTTTTTTTTTATACTTTTGAAGTGTTGGATCAGAAAAGACAAGCAATTATAATTTGTTGTGCTCTGGAAAGTTGTGATGGATATTTTTCTCTTTTTTCTGAAATTTTGTATTAGTTTATTATTATTAACTCTAAAAAAAAGTTTCGTGGCTGATTAATCGATAATGAAAATAATTATTAGTTGCAATCTTGCAATGTTTCTGCTGATCCAGTGTTTTTCTGCTTCTCTTTGTTTACTTCCTGTTCTCGATCAGCTTCACGGAGACTCACAGGCAAAAATCCAGCGAATTCTGCAGCTGATTTCCGGTGGAGGTCTGTCCATTACAAACTCCCACCTCTTGTGTGGAGACTTCCTCTACAGTGGACACACTGTGATGCTCACCCTCACCTACCTATTCATCAAGGAATGTGAGTACTCAAAGCATCACTTATTTGTTTGCTTTGTTTTAAATAATTTATGAGAATTTCCCATGAATAATATATAAATTACATTGTCTGTTTCCATTCTCATCCCATGTAGCCCACAGTATTTCATCATACAGCCACACGTTGACTATCTACGAACAATTAGGATGAAATAGCTGCATGTGTTGCCACTGTTATTGCTTCTCTGTCCCATGTTGTAGAACGTGAGATTTCCATGTCTTTTTATTATAAAGCAGGTCTAAGGGCTATATAATTACTGTAAAAGTATCAAAATGCTTAATCCATGGAGTTATACACACAGTATTCAGAAACTGTGCCTTTAATCGAGCCATCCGGATTTGTATACGATTGGGTTATCATAAGTTTAGAAATATATAAACCATTTCTCAGTTTTAAACTTAAACATTCCAGCTGTGTTCCCAGTTTATGCTGCAATCCATCGTACTCAAAAAATGGTCCTCCGAAACGTGACACGGCAAAGGAACGGCCATTCAAGTCAGAGTTCCAAGTTGGAAACCAAGTTTGCCAACATAAACACGCCTGACGTCACAGCAGCCATGGCGTGCTGACGTGAATTACCTAATTTTTAACTCCATGTAGTGTATAATGCAGTGTTTGTGTTCTGAAACTTACTGCAACTAGCAGCCATTTCCATTCAGTTGATTTGTGCTCTGTGAGCATGCGGTACTACTCATCTACTCCTGTCTCTTTTAACAGGGTTCCCGCAGATCCTTGAAATGTCTTAAATTCGTTTTTCAGGAGGATTCTCTAATTGTTAATTAACAGTTGGTTACTTTATACTGCAGATGCACTGGGACGCATTTAGATCGGAAGTCGTTGAAATGCGCTGAAACGAAGAGTTTCAGACAGAGGGTGGTAGAGGTATTTTCGGACAGACAGTATGAGAAAAAAATTAGTTTTTTAAAAAGATTAAAGCATGTAAACGTTTTTTAGTAGAAACCCAAAATACACATATTGAAACTGTAAATGTCCATATGTCCCCTTTAAACACTCAAATATTCAAAGTTTGGCAACAGATATCTCAAGATATGTCATGTGGATAATGTGCACAAATATGCTGTGAGGATGAGATATTACAAGCAGAGGTTGTTCTAAATTCTCCTTATAACCATGTTCCTTGCTGTAGCGCTGCTTGTCTGTGTGTTGCCACATTGCACTGAAATGCTTGACTGCCTTTAAACAGTTAAAATATGGAAGAGCAGACCACAAATGTATGTTGTCATAAATATGTCCAACACTCTTGTCTTTCCTTCCCTCTCTCTAAAGACTCGCCACGGTCGTTTTGGTGGTACCATCTGATATGCTGGCTGCTGAGCGCCGTGGGTGTGGTGTGCATCTTGGTGGCACATGAGCACTACAGTGTGGATGTGGTCGTGGCCTATTTCATCACCTCCCGCCTGTTCTGGTGGTACCACACCATGGCCAACTTACAGGTCTGAACACAGCTTTACACTGGGTGGCTGCTTGTGTGTGTGTGTGTTGGAGTGTAAGAGAGGGGAAAAAAAGAGAGCTTTCAGAGCTGATGGTTCTCCTCTCATTGAACCTTGTTACACATGAATCATTATGAATGGAGGACTTTACTGTCAGTCTGGTGACAAATGGCTGTATCTGGTTCACAGAGTTTACCTCAAGTGTACCAGCTAAGAGTTCCATGTCAGCACAGTAAAGTATTACAGTTTTTGTTTTGATGAAATGGTCTATCTATTACATGTAATTATATATTTAGAGTAAGTACAAGTCTATTTTTAACCCGAGTGTCAGAACTGGATATCATTTCAGTCAGTCAGTATTCTAAACACGGTGACTTACCCCCTCTACTGGCCAAAGAATAGACAGTTGATGGGGTGGTACCAAGCAAAATCCTTTTTTCAAGGGATATTTAAATCATATGGTTAAACACACATAAATCACAACGTGGCTGCTGACTTCATTGAAAATATTATTTAGTTTTTCAGTTCCTCTATTCAGATTATTTTAGTTTTCATGCATCTATGTATGTTGTAAATGAATATGGATTTAATGTAATTTGCAGTTGCAACATACAGATGAACTGGTTTCTACAGTAGTAGGTAGCATTAGAAAAAACAAAAGAATACAAAGAAAAAGACAGAAATAGGCAGAGAGAGCAGCATTCTAATGAAAATCCTAATCACGTAACTGTTGGATAAAGTAATGAACAAACGGCAAGAGGCACTTAAGCACTGAAGCTTCATATTCATTTTGGATAAACTTTAGACTGTAATTTTGTCACCCGTCTCTATTGTACATTGGCATGTGAGTATTAGATTGATAGATCAATAAACTTTATTTCAGACTCAGGGTCCAGATAGACAATTACATACAAATGACATACACACACAGGTACAGTGCATCCGGAAAGTATTCACAGCGCTTCACTTTTTCCACATTTTGTTATGTTACAGCCTTATTCCAAAATGGATTAAATTCATTATTTTCCTCAACATTCTATACACAACAACCCATAATGACAAAGTGAAAACTGTTTTTTGCAAATTTTTGCAAATCTATTAAAAATAAAGAACGAAAACATAACATGTACATAAGTATTCACAGCCTTTGCTCAATACTTTGTTGAAGCACCTTTGGCAGCAATTACAGCCTCAAGTCTTCTTGGGTATGATTCCACAAGCTTGGCACACCTATTTCTGGGCAGTTTCTCCCATTCTTCTTTGCAGAACCTCTCAAGTTCCATCAGGTTGGATGGGGAGCGTCGGTGCACAGCCATTTTCAGATCTCTCCAGAGATGTTCAATCGGGTTCAAGTCAGGGCTCTGGCTGGGCCAGTCAAGGACATTCACAGAGTTGTCCCGAAGCCACTCCTTTGTTATCTTGGCTGTGTGCTTCGGGTTGTTGTCCTGTTGGAAGATGAACCGTCGCCCCAGTCTGAGGTCCAGAGCGCTCTGGAGCATGTTTTCATCGAGGATGTCTCTGTACATTGCTGCATTCATCTTTCCCTCAATCCTGACTCGTCTCCCAGTTCCTCCCGCTGGAAAAACATCCCCACAGCATGATGCTGCCACCACCATGCTTCACTGTAGGGATGGTATTGGCCAGGTGATGAGCAGTGCCTGGTTTCCTCCAGACATGACGATTGGGATTCAGGCCAAAGAGTTCAATGTTTGTTTGTTTCATCAGACCAGAGAATTTTGTTTCTCATGGTCTGAGAGTCCTTCAGGTGCCTTTTTGCAAACTCCAGGCGGGCTGTCATGTGCTTTTTACTGAGGAGTGGCTTCCGTCTGGCCACTCTACCAAACAGGCCTGATTTGTGGAGTGCTGCAGAGATGGTTGTCCTTCTGGAAGGTTCTCCTCTCTTCATAGAACACTGGAGCTCTGTCAGAGTGACCATCGGGTTCCTGGTCACCTCCCTGACTGAGGCCCTTCTCCCCCGATCGCTCAGTCTGGCTGGGCGGCCAACTCTAGGAAGAGTCCTGGTGGTTCCAAACTTCTTCCATTTCCGGATGATGGAGGCCACTGTGCTCATTGGGACTTTCAATGCTGCAGAAATTTTTCTGTACCCTTCGCCAGATCTGTGCCTCGATACAATTCTGTCTCGGAGGTCTACAGATAATTCCTTGGACTTCATGGCTTGGTTTATGCTCTGATATGCACTGTCAACTGTGGTACCTTATATAGACAGGTGTGTGCCTTTCTCAATCATGTCCAATCAACTGAATTTAGCACAAGTGGACTCCAATCAAGTTGTAGAAACATCTCAAGGATGATCAGTGGAAACAGGATGCACCTGAGCTAAATTTTGAGTGTCATGGCAAAGGCTGTGAATACTTATGTACATGTTATGTTTTCGTTCTTTATTTTTAATAGATTTGCAAAAAACAGTTTTCACTTTGTCATTATGGGTTGTTGTGTATAGAATGTTGAGGGAAATAATGAATTTAATCCATTTTGGAATAAGGCTGTAACATAACAAAATGTGGAAAAAGTGAAGCGCTGTGAATACTTTCCGGATGCACTGTATAGTATTGTTTTAAGACATACTAAAAGAATATGTGAACCTATTCTTTGATATTGGTAAAAAGGATGAGATGTTCTTGGTGTAACTTTTACTCTCCTAGGCCACTTAGACAACCATAAAAACAAAAGGTCCAAATGCTTCATTCTTGCAACATGGCTATGAGACATGCAATCGCACCAAAAGCAACTTTTAAATCATTTAAACAAGTCACATTAGGACCAAAAAAATGTGTTTGGTCTGTTCATCAGCAGCACTTTAAGCTACATCTCTTGTATGGACGTTATGTAAACAAAATGTTTTCCTGTTATTACTGACGTTATTCTAAAGCAGGGGTGTCCAAACTTTTTTTCAAAGAGGGCCAGATTTGATAATGTGAAGATGCCAACAGTCCCTGCTGACATTATTTTAAACAATACAAGTAGCCTTGTAGATAAAACGGGGATGAATTTATATCATTGTATAAAGAGTGACATGAGAAGATCAATCTCATGTCTGTAAGTTAAATCAGCTATAATCACTATTTTACAGTGATTAGTGACTCGTCTAAAACATTTTAAAAAAGGAATAACTTCAATAGAAGCATTCTATACACTGTAGCTTATTTACATTCTATTAGAATGTAAAGAAGTTACATTCTGATACAATGTAACTTCTTTACATTCTATTAGAATGTAAAGAAGTTATTCAAAGAGGGCCAGATTTGATAATGTGAAAATGCCCAAGGGCCAACAGTCCCTGCTGACATTATTTTAAACAATACAAGTAGCCTATACATACATTGTTATTTAATCATTTTATTTTCAATGACAGCAAATAGCAATGTAACCAAATGTAAGCATTCATGTGTGAACAAATCTCAACAACTATTCTGCCTTTCTTTCACATCTTGAAAGTCAGATAACACAAAGAACAAGCCATCTAAAAGCTAATTACATAGAAACTGATCAATATTCTCACCTCAAGACTCAAATCTTAAATGTGACTTAGTGAGGGTAATGAAAAGTTGTCTCACATTTAAGTTCAACACACATGAAACAGGCTAACGAAAAAAATCAAGTTGTCTCTTAGTATCTGATGATAGCTCTTCAGTGTTACGAGCCAGGCAAACATTAGCAAACTCGGTCTTCTTCTCGGGGCAAATGTTTTCTGCTATTTTCGTAACACATTCTTTGATAAACTTTGTCATGTTTGTCATGTTTAGCAGTTAGCATGGCCACTTGGTAGCTTACTTTGATGATGTTTTCATGTGAAAAGGACCGCTGCTGTGTGGCCAAGTTATCTTGGAGTTGTTTCACTTTTCTAGCACGGTCGCTCTCTGATAGCTTGTTGTAGCATTAGCATGTTTGGTCTCGTAGTGTCTCTTTACATTATATTCCTTAAACAAGGCAACAGTCTCATGGCAAATTAGGCAGACACAATTGTTTCGGTTTTCGGTGAAAAAAATATTGCGACCTCCACCTCTCCTGGAAGCGGCGGCCCTCGTTATCGACTTTCCTTTTTTTTTACTTGCCGTAACATGACAGGTCAAGGGTCAGAGCCAATTTCAAACAGCCAGACAGTTACAGAGTGGTTCTGCCACCATGAGGTAGAAAGAGGAATTGCATGTTGAATTTGTATGATTTATTCATTCCGTTTTGACTGTGCTGGCGGGCCATAAATAATGCATTTTAAGACAGAAGGTGCGGGCCATATAAAATCTGACCTCGGGCCGTGATTGGCCCGCGGGCCGGACTTTGGACATGCCTGTTCTAAAGGATAACTTTTTTCTTTCTTGACAGACTCTGAAATGCTCGCTGAACAACTACCTCACCAACACCTGGTGGAACCCACTGTTCAACTTGATGGAGAGGAACGTCCAAACCTCGGTGCCGTGCTCTTACAGTTGGCCCATCACCTGGCCTCCAGCCTGCCTTAAGAACCCCTGCAAGAAGTACTCCATAGTACAGAGCACACGAGAGGAATGATATGACCCCGATGCCCCCCTGTCCATGAACCGCAACATAGTGATACCAAATGCATAGCTATGAAAGAAATATCTCTGCAAAAATGAAGGATAATCATCTCGTCTATGTGTGTTCTTTGTAGATGTAATTTATTTATGAGATAAACTCCTGCAAAGTCCTCATTGTTTTTGTCACTCAGCTTCTACGAACAATTTGTTGCAACAGACTGGCAGGTTTGTTACAGGTTTGCAAGACTTGATTTTGGATATGCTACTGTAACTTTTTCATACTGCGTGTGTTGACGGGGTTTACCTCAATATGATAACAATGTCCTCAAGTCACAAGGTGCCTTAGTGTGTTAAAGGTCAGTAGGTGTACCACAACTGCCATGAGTCTTGATATATTTTAGTTTTTTCATTTTATTATTATTATTATTATTATTCATTTTGTATTCATTTTAGTAGCCTTAAGTGTGTATATCCACAGCTGTAGTCTAAACATTGTAATGTATTAAAGTTGAACTATACTAAGGCTTCAGTGTGTTTTTTGATTTAATGAATGAAGTCATCATTATGCTGTATACTGCAACTGCATGTTTTAGACAACTTAAATATATATTTAATGGATCTCTTCAACCTTGGAAGATTCATCAAGTCACAAGAGATCATTTTGTTAAATAACTCCTTTCATACCATGTCACTTACTTTGTAGGCTTTATGTCATGTCGTTTATCATGGCCTTACATGTCGCATGGCTTGATCATCTCCTCTTCCATGTACATTATCCCTGACATCCACGTTAGATCAGAAACTTTCAGAAAACAATATATCCCTGAGAATTCGAATGCAATGTTTGTGGAAACCATCTATTTGTTCCCAGCTCAGTCCTCAAACTCATGGATCCTGAATGCCATGTATGTTGTTGCACCGTACAGGGTTCAAATATTCCTGGCACACAAAAAGCGTCACGGAGAAATGCTGCAGCTGTCTAAATCCAGAAAAGAGAGTGCCGAAAAGCTGAGCATGAATGGTGAAAAACTAACTCTAGATTCATCATGACATCTACCAAAGAGTTTCATCCATGTGCTAAACAATCATTTTTCTCAGACAACATCAACAAACTGGTAAAGTTATGAATTATTTTGATTTAAACACAGACTCTGCTAACTAGGATGACATGTGGAATTACTAATGGCTCCTTCCTTGGACCTCTGCTTTTTAAAGCTATCGGCAGAATCATACAAATCATACATTGCAGATGATACTCAGCTATTATTGATTCATATCTCATTTTAAACATATATCAAGTCAATAACAAAGTTTGTCTATTATCAGCTTTAAAATACAGCAGGACTGTGAGGATACATGTGTAAACCAGATTTAGAAAAACTAATTCATGCTTTTGTGTCAAATAGGTGAGACTGTAATGGTCTTTTCTCAGGTCTGTCCGAGAAAGCATTAAAGCAGCTTTAGCAGTTCTCACAAAGACTAAGAAAGCTGAACACATTACACAGATTCTCAGGTCTCTGCACATGGCTACCAGTCAGTTATAGAATTGACTTTTGCCCGTCTACCTGTTGTCCAGGACTTTCAAGGCAGTTTGATATTAAAAGTAAGTGCAACAGTAACGGTTTCTTCCCCCAACTGCAGTCAGCACAGTCATGTCAGAGCAGCACAGAGAAAACATCAACTTAACAGCACAGAATCTGCAGCTGTGGACAGAAAAGACCAACTTAGAGAGACAGACAGAAGAGCTGACCAGAGAGAGAGACGGGCTCAACTGGACCGTCGGAGTCATCCTGGAATATGACAACTTCCCAGTGAATACACACTGCCCACAGAAAGGTGAAAACATTGTGTACTTTTTGTCAGCAATGGAAGTACATTTACTCAAGTACTGTACTTTATACAAAGTCAAAGTATTTATACTTCACTTGAGCCTTTACGAGGCAAATATTGTAACTTTACAATATCACTCACTCTGACAGCTTTAGTTACATTTCAGATTACAATTTTACATCCGCTTCCTGTCTAGTGAAAACCAATTATCTCCAAATTTGGTGGTTTTGAATTAAAATGTTTGTGATTAATTGAAGCATCTTTTATGAATAGAGGAAATTCTACCACTTCTTAAACTAAATAAACTATCCAAAAAGCCTCTTGGATCAGCTGGAAAATTATCATCACAAAGCTGAAAACAGGGCTGTTTTTATGAGTTCATGAAAAGTTGACTTTTTAGAGATACATGCTTCTCACAGGACAGCGCCGCTACAAACATGATGATTTTGATGGAATATGATGCATTGCTGTAGATTAAACTGCCCAACAGTATAGGAGTTATTAGCACACATTCAAACATCTACAGCAGTAAAATGCAACATGCACATTATAGGGTCAGTGTGTGGCCTTCAGGGGATCTATTAGCAGAAATGGAATATAACATTCATATGTTTTTATTATCAACTGAAAATAAGTTTATGTTACCGAGGCCACCTGCAGAATGTATATATATATATATATATATATATATATATATAAATGTTATCTGTAATAGAAAACGATTATGATTTAGTTGTCTCGTTCTTGTTGAACAGTGTGTAAAGCTTGCCTGGATGGCTGGGTGCTGTTCCAGTCAAACTGTTACATGTTTTCAACATCTGAATATTACTCCCAATGGAGGAATTGGGAGGTAAGCCGCGATCACTGCAAACAAATTAAGGCAGATCTGGTGGTGATTGAAAGCCAAGAGAAACAGGCAAGACTGATTTAATTTGATCTATTTTTCTATTTTCATAGGCAGAGATAGAAATGAATCATGTCCAAAACTGTCAACACATGAAACAAAGATATTATATATTTATATATATAGTTAGTTAATCCTTTCATTATAATTGTCTAAATAGAATGTTTTGCATTGCAACTGAAACTGCAGTCTAAAGTTTGATTTGCACTTATATTTTGATATTTAACCATTTTATTTATATTTTTCCTACCTGAATCTTTTTGATCTTCTTTAATATAAATACATTGCATTCACTTTTATTTATCTAACCTGTGTCTGCGTAAATAAACCTGCGTTGCCTATCATTGGCTGATACATCTGTTGTCGTCACTGTGGAAGTGCACCAATCACAACAGGTCACAACGCTGTCAGCCAATAAGAAGCCAATAACGGTCCAACATTTCTCGCTGTTTCACAACATCACAGGAAGCGCACGAGCGACGCTTTTAAATACTACTTTCACCTAACCTAGTTGGCATGTTGTTGTTTTAACGCGGTCTTTGAGGATACTCCTAAACATGGGATAGTGTTGTCAGTCCGCTGCATTTCACTTTGACGCCATGGCTTCTCTATCATGGCTGGAGCGTCTGAGCGGCGCTGCGCTGTCACAAGTCGACATGGCAGCTTGCCTAGTGTTCCTGCTCGTGTTGGGTTTGGTTTATGCACATCACAAAGGACGGGACCTCGCAAATATCCCACCAGGTCCGAAGCCGTGGCCGGTAGTCGGCAACTTCGGCTTCTTCCTCGTCCCCTCTTTCATCCGGAAGACGTTTGGGCATAAATCAGACAGCGCCGACAAGAGCGCCATGATTGTTTTAACGGAACAAGCTCAGGTGTATGGTAACATCTACAGCATCTTTGTAGGGAGTCAGCTGATGGTGGTGCTGAATGGCTACGAGGTGGTCAAGGATGCACTTTCAAACCATCCCGAGGTGTTCTCCGACAGACCAGATATCCCTTCTGTCACCATCATGACCAAACGCAAAGGTAAGCAACTGATCCTCAGCCTTATCTCCATGTTAAGTAAACATCAACAACTCAGTTTCTAATGTATGCGATACACCTAGCTGGAGTAATGGAGTGTAATGAGAATAATGGTTGTATTGACAGTAGTGATACTAGTTTATTAGTGGTAGTAGAAGTAGCCTGCTGACAATTGCAACTGGGTATTTATGGGTATGTTACAGTTTAATGAAACTGACAAAATGTATCATCTCCCCCCCCCCCCCTTTTCTGAACTTCAGGGATAGTCTTTGCACCTTACGGGCCAGTGTGGAGAAAGCAGCGCAAGTTTTGCCACAGCACACTCCGAAACTTTGGCCTGGGGAAATTGAGCTTGGAGCCTTGCATCCAGCAAGGCCTGGCGACCGTCAAATCGGAGCTGCTGCAGCTGAGTGAGAGGTCGGGCTCCAGCGGCGTGGACCTGGCCCCGCTGATCAGCAACGCCGTGTCAAACGTCATCTGCTCGCTGATCCTGGGACAGCGTTTCCACCACGAGGACCGCGAGTTCCGCAAGCTGCTGGACCTGATGGATCGTGGGCTGGAGATCTGCGTGAGCAGCCCCGCGGTCCTCATCAACGTCGTCCCACTGCTGTACTACTTGCCCTTTGGGGTGTTCAAGGAGCTGCGTCAGGTGGAGGGAGACATCACGGCGTTCCTGAAGGGGATCATCGCAAAGCATCGGGAAACATTAGATCCTGCCCACCCGAGGGATCTCGTAGACATGTACTTGATGGAGATGTTGGCCCAGCGAGCTGCTGGAGAGGAGAACAGCAGCTTCACAGAAGAGTATCTCTTTTATATAATAGGAGATCTCTTCATCGCTGGCACCGACACCACCGCGAATTCAGTGTTGTGGATCATGCTCTACATGGTGCTACACCCTGATATCCAAGGTACAAGTAGCAACAGTCCTTTTCAGACAAATGTTTTATGTTGCAGAACTGAATGTGAAGTGTTTTTAGGAGGATACAAATCACAGATTTGGACATCTGCTGGGGAAACCCACAGCTCGGAACACTTCCTGGTTTAAGGACAACAGAATGTTGATTATGCATTTAACCACTTCTGCAACTCTTGCACGACATCCATCAGCGCATCAAAGCGTCCGTCTGACGACCGCTTTCTAGCACTTTGAAATGATTTGAACTGGCCCAAAGCCACACTTATTTCGCACTCGTTTGCCGAGATGAGGACTTCTTTAATCATCCAACAATGACGTGCATAATGTTTTTCCCTCATATTTGATTTCAGACAAGGTCCAGGCAGAGATCGATGGAGTGGTGGGCACACGGCACACCCTGTCTTTGACTGACAAGGGAAGTTTGCCTATTACTGAAGCCACCATCATGGAGGTGCAGAGACTGACTGTTGCGGTTCCTCTGGCTATTCCTCACATGGCCTCCGAGACAACAGGTGAAGTATTTATGTCAATGATCAACTTTTCAGGTTTCAGAGTCTCAGATAATGATTGTATCTCAGGGATGATAAAGATCTACTGAGCTGAATTTTGTTGATTTGTCGTAATTTTTTCCCGTCCAGAGTTCAGAGGCTACACTATTCCGAAAGGAACAGTTATTGTGCCCAACCTGTGGTCTGTCCATAGAGATCCCACAGTATGGGACGAGCCAGACACTTTCAACCCAGCACGCTTCTTAGACGAGGAGGGAAAGTTGCTCAGGAAGGAGTGCTTCATCCCATTCGGGATCGGTATGCCGTTCCTTACTCGTATTGGCCGTATCACCCATCTATCAATGCGTCTTAATTGTCCATGCCCCAATGCGCTAATAATGTATCTTCCAGGTCGCAGGGTGTGCATGGGTGAACAGCTGGCGAAGATGGAGCTGTTCCTGACGGTTACCAGCTTACTGCAGGCCTTTAAATTCCGACTTCCAGAGGGAGCGCCTCCTCCTACGCTGACCGGACGATTCGGCCTGACGCTGGCTCCCTGCCCGTACGGCGTGTGTGTGAGCCCTCGGAGATGAAACGCTGGAATGTTCTGTTCCAGCAGATTTTCTCCAAATCAAAAACCTTTACCAACCGCAATGTGGGTAAAGGTCTCGTAGAGAGACGATATAATCTGTGCATAATGGAGAAAAAAAAGTGTGTTCTGATTGGAATGTAGCTTCTTTATGGCTGCATATCATCTGTTCATCTCTACAATGCTATGATCCAAAGCAGCTTTTAATCCTCTCATTTAGGAAGTGAGAACCATTGAATGTTTAATGTATAAATATATTTACTTGATAATTAAGTTATAATTAAGGTCTACAATCAGTTTTATGATTCATGCCACTGAGAAATTAGCACACGTGTTATTAGGGCATTAGGATAAGAAAGACTTTTAAAATATATTTTCCTTACGGATGTGATGAATTGTTGGCAATGTGTCAATAAAGAGTTTATCTTAATAATGCTTACCTCAATGTATCATGAATATATATTGTGTTCAATAACGTTTTTGTGTACAATTGTTGACATTTTATAATGATTGTGTTGTAGCCCTGTGAAAAACATAAGGACATCTTTTTAGCCAAACAGTAGAAGGAAAAATTGTCTCAATGCTAGAAACTTTGTTATAGAAACAAACAGAACTTCAATATCATAATTCCAATCTGAAAGAACAAACTGATCTCAAATTATGATCATTTTGTCATTGTCATTTTGAAAAATAAGAAAAGAGTTGATGAGAAACGCACAGCCCAGGGCTTAGTGTTGTTTTGGCACTTTTTATGAGGTGTTTAGTGAAGAGTTACAATCAGGTGGAGGGAAGTGAATTATGATTGTAACAAAAACACATATCCATATATCTCAAAGCTGGAGAAGAGACTGCAAGATGAGACTTTCTAGACCAGCTGACAAAATACAATTGAAATATGATGCATTACTGTTCATGCGTTATATTAGAATGCTTCACCTTGAACAGACAGTCGGCACATTTTAAGTTAACAGACAAGATTACAAGTATTTTTACATTGTGTATTGCAGAATCTGAATATTCGTGTAGAATTCCTGTCCAGGGGTTTTTGACATGCAACACTTTTAAGGAACTATTTGTGTACATGTTTAATTTGGGAGTTTTTATACTGTATCTGTGTGAAAGGTCGTTGTGCGACGTGATCACGTGACCGCCCGACCTTCCTCCTACTTCTTCAGTGTGCCCGGTCTGATCTGATCGTCCCGCAGCAGGCTGACACCGATCACACACATCATGGCGTTCTTCACTCACCAGATCTGCAGAGGTTTGTCGTCCTCGGCTGTGAGGAATGTCGTTATTAAACATGTGACGGTCATCGGAAGTGGGCAGATGGGTGCGGGAATTGCACAGGTAAGCAACCAAATGTTTAGCCATGTAGCTAGCAAAGTAGCTTCATTACAGTTAGTGGAGCAGCTGCTCTTTAGCGGAGGTGGGGGCGGTTGCGCAGACGTACATTTGCCAAACCAAACCAGTTTATTTCAACAAAGCACCTTTGTGTCGCTTGCAAGTTGTCCAACCTGCAAAATGTGACATATCATATCATTCTTTCAAAATAAAAGCCTGTCGTTGGATTATATTTCGTTGAGAGTGAATGGAGTGTCTTGTCTCCACAGTACAACCACACATTGATCCCTTGAGGAAGTTGTGTTGTGAAATAGCTTGGTTGTCATCCATTAAAACACAGTTGTCACCTTGTGGAGTGACATAACGAGATAAGACTCAACTCTGATGAACTGCAGGATGCACATTTGGCCACATGGTGTCGCTCGCCATAGAAACTGGAGAATTTGAGCTGTGTCTCAAGTACATAATATTGTATACTACACAATATACACAGTATCTTAATTTTGCCCACACATCATCACTGACATTGACGGCTGTGTTTCTAGTTATTTTGACCTAATTTCTTTCTGAAAGATTGCTGCATCAACTGGTCACTCGGTGACGCTCGTGGACACAAATGACGAAGTCCTTAAAAAGGCCGTCAAAGGAATTGAAGGGAACCTCAAAAGAGTGGTCAAGAAGAAGTTTGCTGACAAGCCAGAGGTGAGACGGTAGATCCCCAGACCAACACCAACAAATAAACACCAAAGTAAGAGTGAAATGTGATGAATTGATGTTGTTTCAGGCGGGTCAAGAGTTCATCCAGAAAGCCCTGCAGAACGTGTCAACCTCGACAGATGCTGCATCTGTAGTTCAGGCCTCGGATCTCGTGGTGGAGGCCATCGTGGAAAATCTAATAATCAAGCAGGATCTCTTCGGTGGGCTTGACAAGCTGGCACCAGCGTGAGCGTCGTTCTGTTTCTGTGACATTTTTTTTTTAGCTGTATCGGTTAAATTAGAAGCTCAATACTGTTAATGTTCATTTCTAAATCTAAGACCAAGTTTTGATCGGAGACGGAAGTTGGCACGGTACATTCGGTGGCTTTAGTGAAGGAGAATGAAATGGAAAGTTCTGAAGTTTTATTATTAACTGCTGTCTATATTATGTTTTATGTATGCATCTGTTTTTTCTGCACGCTTTTTTTTTTTTTTAGACACACCATCTTTGCCAGCAACACATCCTCCCTGTCCATCACGGACATCGCCAGCTCCACCAACAGGCTGGATAGATTTGCCGGCCTTCACTTCTTCAACCCAGTCCCTGTGATGAAGCTGGTAGAGGTATGACCCCGCAGTTATCTTCCTACAGAATGGGGTTTCTAAAAAGGGTTCAGAGGGATGAAAGAGAAGATCATTTACACATAGATATGCATCCTTTTATTAGTTATTAAACAGAAATTAATACAGTATGTCCAAACAAGTAATTTTCTTAAGAGTACACCGGCACAGTAAAGTGTACTCTGAAAACACAAATGCAGAAAGTGAGTGGCTGTTAAAGATGTTTTACCTGGATGAGGCTGCAGGCCTTGAGGACTCCTGCTCACACAGAATATTGTCATCTTCCTTTTTGCAGTAAGCTTTGACTTTCACTGTAGAGGAGTTTTATTTTAATTCAAATACTCAGAGACAACTGAATCAGAAAAGTAAACGCCATCCATCCAGCAGCTCAGTTAGGCTTAATCTTTCTCACTTTTCTCAACAGGCAGAAGGATCCGCTAGAGAACAAAACAGATCTTGAATTAAGTTTGTTTTTAAACGTTAAGTCCCATTTTTCATTAAGATACAGTAATATAAATATAGTCTTGATTTGGTTGTTGTATTCTTCTTTTCTGCTTAATGCTTAAAGGCCTACCGATTTTGTCGTAGTTGCAGCAATGCAATAGTCTATAAAAGAAAGTAGCAACAGCCAACAGTTTAGCCTTCAAGTCATCTTGCTATTGGCCGCTCCAGTCACCACGTCGTAGACTGGGCCGGTGGGGCTGGTAACGGCTCATATTATGCTAATTGCTACATGTAGTTGTGTCTTACGGGGCTTGAAAGAAGTCGAATTAAGTCTTGAGTTCAAACTGCTGCAATGTGTCTCCCTCCTATTGATAAAAAAATATTAGACCTTATTTAAAACCTCTAATCATAAACTACAATTATTGATTGTGTGAGAAATACAAACGGGTTGAGGGGTTTGATTTTTTTTTTTTTAACTTTGATGTAGGCGGGATCAAGAGGAAGCTAGTGTTGAATTAGTTTACGCTACATGGCTGTGAGGGCACCTGTTAGGAATCAGAATACATATTGTTTTACAGTTAACATATTCAATTGTTGAAGTAATTTAAAATATTTGTGTTTCAAATATTTAAAATTAATTTATTTAGGTGACTTTAAACTACTTGTCAGCTGATGGAGGCGCAACACCGCCTCCCTCTATTGGCCATCCGCCTCTGCATTTTGAAAAATGTGCTTATTCACTTTCTTACCGACACTTAACTAGAGGAAATTACTTTTATTTCACGCTCATGTCTGTGTGGTAAATGTAAAGCTACCACAATCAGCTGGGGTGCCAGTAGCTCAGTCCGTGGGATCTAGCTTGGGAACCGGATGTTGGCCTGTTCAAATCCCAGGTCAGAGACACTTTTATATTGCTGGTAACAATTAATTAGAATCAAATCTGCTTAAGTGTTAATCTTTCACAGGTCATTGGAATCTCAGCAACAAGCCAAGAGACTCTGGATTGTCTCCTGAACTTCAGCAAAATACTGGGAAAAACTCCCGTGTCCTGCAAGGTAAGATTTTCTGTCTGACGTCATCGTAGCTGTCGTCTCTTAACGGCCCACTCAGCAGCCTCCGACGTCTCTTTGTTCAGGACACGCCAGGATTCATTGTAAACCGCCTACTTCTTCCCTACATCATAGAGGCCGTCCGAATGTATGAGAGAGGTATGTATACCTGCATGTGCACCTGTGTGTTATGTCAATAGTAAAGCTTGTGTATTGTTACTCATGATGCAATGAAGAAAAATAAGAAGAAAGGTCAACTCATTCTCCTTTTTAAATACAACCATACATCTTTTAAATACAAGTTTCTCTCCTTTTACCACACTTTAACACACTTCATTCAAAATGAACAAACACAAAGTAAAAACCTCAAACTGTCTTGGTTTGTCTTTCCACTGTTTCAACAATCTGCTCCGGTTTGATCACAATAAGCCCTCAAATCACAGAGTTGGATGTGAAAATATCCTCGCTTCGCTGGGTTTCAAACAGCATTAAATATTGAGTTTCAAATACAGTATCCTTTAGTATAATCTTGTAGTTTTTGATTGATATCGTATCTTTGTATGGTTACGGTTTTGTTTTTCTGTTCTCTCCTCAGGTCATGCATCCAAAGAGGACATTGATATTGCCATGAAACTCGGTTGTGGTTATCCCATGGGACCCCTTGAGCTCGCAGACTATGTAGGACTAGACACGATGAAGTTCATCATGGATTGTGAGTAAAACTATGTGGGGAATATAAGTATGCTATAACCGGTGGTGGTGGATTGTTACTAAGTTCATTTACTCAGGTACTGTACTTGAGTACAAATTTGAGGTACTTGTTCTTTACTTGACGCCTTTCTTTTCACGCCTCTTACTACTACGACCCAAAAACATGTCGGAAGGAAATACTGGACGACATCTTTAGTTACTTTACCAATCCAGATTTTTTTTTGCCATTAAAATGTACAAGTACAGCTAATTGATAACTATTTTGAAAACAGTTTTAATTCAAGTTCCTGCCTCACAAATTTGCGGCTTAGTTTAATGATTCACACTGTTTTCACACAGAACTTTTACAAACCAATCGCTTAATGGAGGAAATGATCAGCAGATTGATCCACAATAAAAATAATTAGTTGCAGTCTTATACAAAGTATTTTAAAAATAAGCTCCACCTCAGTCAACTCCTGTTTTCCATTAATCCAGGAGTAAAAATACCCTGATATATTTAAGTACAGTACTTGTACAATACAACAGTCACACGGCCAATTATAAGCATCGAGTACTTTTACTTAAAATAACCCTCAATACATTTTCCTGATTTATACTTGCAACTGTTTACTTAATTAACATTTGTATGCAGGGTAGAGTTTAGAGTATTTTTACAGTTTGGTATTAGTACTTTTACATAATTAAAGGATACTTCCTCCACCACAGGATATGAATTGAATTTAAAAGTGTGACGGCCTGTGATAATATAAAACCGCTGCAAAGGAGAAACAAAGCTCGTTCAAATGAACTGATGTGTTAAATGTCGAACACTTAACTTGTTTTTGCTACTGCCTATCTTTAGATTGGTCTGCAGCGAATCCAGAGAACCCCTCCTTCGCCCAGAGTGAGTTGCTGAACAAGTTGGTTGCGGAGGGCAAATTCGGCAAAAAGACAGGAGAAGGATTCTACAAGTACAAGTGATGTACTCACGCCACTGAAACTAGTCAGAACCTCCGAGAGTAAGCCATCCAACAGGAACTGATTAGAAGCGGAAATAGAAAAAGTGCCTTCTCTAATAAAGGCCGACTTTTGTCTGTCAGTCCATTTTCTGATGGACGTCCACTGAATGACGTCTTTTTGTGTGTGAAGAGATTCAATCAGATTAAAATCGTTTTTTCAAATACTTGGTGTCTGTTCTCATTGTAGGTGCGGTTTTGACTGCCGTGCAGATGCATACAGAACTGGGTAATATTTATGATTAACATAAAATGTGAATGCTTCTGATATCTACTAGCATCAGTCAAATTAATATTGGTGGTACAATAACACAACAAAATGTATTGGACTTGCTGTGACCTGAGGCATTCGGCTGTGCTTACTATATAATGTGTTGTGTACATCCTTGAGCTGTAACAGACGTGTTCATTAAATTTCCTTACTCATACAACATTTGCAAGGCCCTTTTTTTTTTTTTTGTGTTCATTTGAAGACTTATGGTTACCTCCACGAGCTCTAGTCGTCTTCTTCCCTGCCTCTGCTGGCACATTGCTGCTCATCGCGGCGTATTACTGCCACCTGTTGGTTAACCTGAAGCTAACGAGGCTTTATCTGTTCCAAATTAAGACAAATCAAGTGGATATCTTTCCAAAAGTCCTTGTATAAATGTGCAGGCACGCTGTGTGTCCGGACGAGTGATTTAGAGAATCTTTCCTCCTTCAGCAGGTGAATGTGAAAACAGCCTTCTTGTGTCAAACGCTGCATGTACATCATTGTGCACAGTTCAGCTCGAACATCAAGGTGAAGTAAAAGGCAAAAGCCCTTTGAGAGGAGGGCCACTACTGTATACGAACAACTGACATACTCTTTATTAAAGTTAACCTTTTATTTAATCTATATGCTATTTCTACTTGCTTCTGGACATGTTAAAGGTGTATTTGATTATCCGAACCAAGACTTAAGATGGAGACTATCTTTCGTATTGTGCATGAGACAAACACGGCATTTGGGAATTTATAAATAGAATTGACTTGAACGCATAGAATGAGTCATTTGTCGGATGCTTTTGGGAACGTTTAGCCTCTTTAAATTGTCCTGTTAGACAACAGCAACACAAGGTGGTGCTGTTTTACTTGAAATGATATCTTCAGATGTGCCTATAAATACAGTTCCTTTGATCTTGGCAGTTTAATAAAACATGTTTTTTACTTCAACAATCAAACATTACCTTTAGAGTTTTTACACTATTTAAAGTCTAAAGACAATTTTTACATTGAGAGACAGGAGAGAAAAAATCTCACCCTTTAAATTGACCCAATTGATAAAGATTTATATACTCGCATGATCTAGATCTCTTTTTTTTCATTATCACAATAATTCTGTGTAGATGAAGCCCCAAGTGTTGTGTGCTTTTGGAGTTTTGAAGGCAAGTTTCCACAAAGACTTAAAACATGTTATATTCAATGTGTTTTACCTGCTTTACACCATCAGTACATACATAGCACTACCACATTATGCATAAATACATTATAATCTCCAAGGACGACACACAGACTGCTACATCTGGCACTTCCAGCTCTGGTCTTTCCACCACACAAGTGATCAAATGAGCCAATGGTGCCTTTTTTATTTTTCTTACAAAAAAAACAAAAACATGTTGAAACAGTTCAAATATGACCACTTGGGAAGCAAAATGCTATACCAAGATGACAGTGACCCGAAATATGATGATAAAAAAAGAAGGAATTCATCAAGTAATACTAAAAGAGAGCATTAAAATCATAATGTTACAGAGATGCTTGCATGGAATAAACAACATGGCTAGAGACCACACTATTAGCTACCAGAGAGAAAAGACAAAGGTCCATTGCAATAAAAGAAAGACTGCCAAGTGCTGGGGTAAATATATATATCTGCTTCATTTGTCATGTTTTAGAACAATAAAATATAGGCCTCTGAGCCATCACTCTCGCCTTTGTCCTAATGTTGCCTGCAAAAATACCAAGAAAATTGACATATCCTGACAGTTTTAAAAAGTACACATACTGAGCATTATTTTACATCTGAGCAAGACTCGAGGTCACTATTTGTTACAAATAGTTATCAAAAGAAGCCTTAAGTTTCAATTTTCTGCAAGATGCTTCAACAAGAAAAATGGCTTTCCTGTGTCCAAAGCTTATTTTTATATATACCACTATATAAAAAAAAAAAAACAATATTTAAAAATAAAAAAAAATCACTAAAATATACACCGAGAAATTGAAACAAGGGTTCAAAATACAAAAAAAAGCATTCAAAATCAAATTCAGTCTAAAATGAAAAAAGCAAATCAAAACGTTCCTTTTTTGCACCAACTGCTCAGCGACAAACTAAAAATGGCGTCTCGAGGACGTTTCGTAGACGAGATGAGATTCCTCCGGCTTCCTTAGTGCAGTCTAAAAAGAGGTGTTTGGTCAGTCGGGCGAAACCCCAAATGGTCTCAAAAATCCAGGGAGAGAGAGAGAGAGAGAGAGAGAGAGAGAATGGGGGGTGGGGTGGGGGTGCTCAGGGAGTGACTGTCGGCCTAATGAACTATACAAAGGAACCGAGGTGACAAATAACTTACAGTAACTTAGAGACAGGTGTCTGGAGTGTTTGGGCGGTGCAGTGGAGAAGTTTGTGCGCACATGTTTTTCAGTGCCGTGCCTTGGGATTGCAGTAAAGCTGATTGTAAAAAGGAAACTGACGAAACACAGACGTCAAATTGATGTGTGTGTTTTGTTTTTTGTTTTTTTTTCCGGTGAGAGAACGTGGTTGCGTGAGGGTGCTCCTACTAATCATGATTGTCTTGTTCAGTTCAGTTCAGTGTCTCTACAGCAGGCGCCTTGAGGACGCGAGTAGAGTCCAACAGGGAAGTGTTTTTGGTGGAGGTGGGGGGCATGTGACTGCGTTGAAGGAAAGGGGAGTAGGGGTGAGGAGAGATGGGTGGAGGGGGAGTGGGGTCCTCTGAGAACTGGAGGCTTTCAGTTTGGAGATTTAACGGTCTTCATGGAATCTAGCAGGCCTCCATCTCTAGCAGAGGGCCCGTAGCTGCTGCCTTCGCTTTGCATGTGGAGAAATTGTTCCGTTTTCCTCCTGGAGAGAGAAAAAAACAAACAAAAAAACAAACAAAGACAAAAGAAAAAACTTTTAAATCAACCGAACTATGAAGTCACTGCGTCTGTAACTTACACCAAAACACTGGTCACACGACACATTAACCCGAACCAGACACAGCAAGATGACTCGAGAGCGTCTCACCATGCAGGCATACCTCCACATTACCTGTCATCACCATCTACATCTTCAAATCATTGTTCATATCTTCGTAGTGTTACAGCTGATTGAATGAAAGCCTTTGCAGCTGTGTTGAGCCAAAAGCGCTGAACTACAGAGGAGGTTATAGGTCAGTGACAGGATGTGGGCCGGTATAGCTTTGATCTAGTCTGACACGGGGGTTGCCGTGACCCAGCTGGCAGTGCTATGCTCTTCTTTGCCCTAACCCTGACTGACTCATCCCTCCTCTCACTCTCTCAAGGCGAGCACCCGATTGTGTAGCTTCTGGGTGACATTTTAGGCTGCCGCCGCAGGTGGGCGATGGGAAAACAAGAAGAGGAAATACGCTCCACACAGGAGGATCCCCGCGTTGACCCGGTTAAACTAGCAGAGTTCATGGAACTGTGTCAGTAGGCGGTAATCTGAAACCAACGCGGTTCAGGTGCAGTTTGACGCCGCGGTGTCAAAATGTTACCTGACTGCTCCACAATCCACTTCGCAGGGCTCTCACAGAATTGGCCCCCTTTTTTCCCTGATGGGAAAATTGTCTGTCATGCCGCACAAGTGCTCGTTTCCCTGTCATGATCTGGGCTCGAGCTTAACATAACAGGGTTAGCTTCAGTTATTGACAAGCCAAGGATAGTTATTTTAGACCCGAGCAGCATCAAATAGAATCTGTGATCAAAGTGGAGAGGCAGAGACAGAGGTGGACGGATGCCTCCCACGCCTAAAAAAGATGGATGTTTTGTGAAGACGAAAAAAAAAGGGAAAAGAAGCGGTATTAGTTTGCTTTCCTCTTGTGGCAAAGCCAAGACTGTGTTTTTGTAGGAGAGAAGTCAGCTGATCCCTGCTGCTTGCTGCATCTTAACACTTGAAAAGTCTTAACACACACACACACACGCACACGCACACGCACACACACACACACACACTGCTTTACCACATGTGGATAAAAGGGAACAGGACAGAGGCCACCTTTCCCCGAGGAGCGCTGACCATGAGCGGCACAAAGTAGAGACTGAAAGGAGCACAGCGCTCTGAGAGAAGGAGGGAGCTCCTGTCGCTTCTATTTACCTCCGCCGCCCTCTCCCTTTTCATCCCAGGATCTCAAAGCGGGCCCGCACGCCCGGCACTGCACCCTGTTTCCTGGGGAGCATTTTTTTTTTTCCTTCCCCTACCACAGACATGAAAAGCTTTGGCCTTCCTGCCTGGGGAAGAGGCCTGAGGGGCTGCGGGCGAAGAAGCGCGTGCATGTGTGCGTCTGTGTGCACTAGTTTAAAAAAAAAACTTGGTGGTAACAGCAGGGATGTGTACTTGCGTGGTGGTTGGTTGTAGAGGGCACCAGGCCAGCTCTTCACAAGGTCCAGCCGACACAAACACTGGGATTCAGGAGCAACTTGACCTCTCCTCTCCTCCTCCTCTTCCCTCTACATTAGCGCTCAGGAATGCCGCCTGGACTTTTTTTGCAGGAAATGAAACGCTCCTCTGTTCAGAGGGCTAGCGAAGGTTTAGTCTCCCCCTTCTCCCCCCCCCCCCAATTCCTTTCCCGCTATGGGACGGCGGGAGGGAGGAAGGGGGGGAGGGAAGGAGTCGGACAAGCTCTCGCCCAGCTTTTGAAGTGTGGGAGGTTAAGATAACTGGCACAACCTCGCGTCTCAATCGCCGCTTTCACCTCCCAGGCCAAATCAAAGAGGCCGCAGCTGGGGCCCGGCTGCCTTATAGCCCCCTAACCTCCAAACCCACCGACCCACCCACCTCCTCAGCTCCGTCTCTCTCTCTCTCTCTCTCTCTCTTGCTCTCTGTCTCTCTCTCTCTCTCTACACACAGCTCTGGGGTTTCTTTTGGTGCCATTAAAAAGGAAAACACCGCCGACAAATTACTCTAAAAATATGCCAAGTGGAGAGAGGTGTCTCCAACACAGGCTGAGGCGCAGACTTTACCATGGCAGAGACAAGAGGGGGGGATACGGAGGACAAACGAGACTGAAGATAGAGATCAATGCAAGTAAAGACATGTCATAGTCATCTTGAAAGACGAATCTGGTTAGTTAAAAATAACATTTTTGTAGATTTGGCCATCTTTTTTTGACATCGTAGTTAACTGTTAAGATCTGGAAACATGGTGACATCGCTAGAAAGAAGTTTGACAGGGCAAGAAATAGTCCCTAAGTCACTTTAAACTTTTTACAATCTTTTTACAATCTTACCAAAATGTAGGAAAATAAGTTGTAATAAACCGGAATCATCCTTTATCTGTCAGGTCAAAGTCAGGGCGCACAAATGCCCTGACTAACTTTGAAGGTAGTGCTGCAAATAATTTTTTACTCCTTTATTCATGAATTTTTTTCCCGAATTTATTAAAAGATTGATTAAAAATGCAATCACGATTTACCAAGCGCAAAGCAACAAAGGCCTCGTTTTGATAGTAAACAACAGTTTACAACAGTAAAAAACTAAAATGTTGGATTTACTTCGACAACTATCAATTGATTTTCTGACCATTGACCAATTCATGGATAAAGTACGATTCAAACAACCATCACTGATGAGTGTCATGTGTTTCTGTCAGTAGCGAGGATATGAATGCTGAAGCCGCTGCCTCCCTTTATAATTTCAACCTGAGATCCAGAAAAACAATAAGTGCCATAACGTTGTTACGTCATCCAGTGAGATCAGCTCAGTCTGGCTCAGACGGACAGACTCTCGAGCTCTAGAAAGTATCGTGCACACATACACATTTAGATTAAAGTCTGGTGCGGTGGCATGTCTTGGCACGCCAGTGACCGTGGCCTGAAACATACAGCTGGCTTTCAAAAGGAGCCTCCTCTAAATACATTTGAAGCAGCACCGCTCTTAAAGACACAAGGGGGGGAAATAAAGTGAGCGGGGCAATAAAAAAAAAAAAAGCACCTGGAAGACAAAGCGATGTTTGAAACAAAACGCTCTGCACTGTCAGCACGTTCTTCAGCTCCGAGACATAACACATAAAAGAAATCGCCTCTTTAAAAAAGAAGGGCTTTGAAATTCTTAACCTCCAATCAAAAGGCAGGCTCAGGGGGAAGCATCTTTTCCACGGGGGCTATCAGAAACTAGTCAGGAGGGCCTGAAACTAAGAGGCTGAAGAGAAGGAAGAGGAAAGACAGTGTCTGTGTTAAATATTGGAGAGAAGGGAAGGGTGGGGTCTGCTTGTGGTCAAAAGGGGAACGGGGAGGGGGGAGTCACCAAAACCCCAAACCTCAGGCATGCGTGGGTGAGACTATGGGAGTACAGGAGGGTGTGGGAGGAGGAAGGAGGGGGGCGTTGCCCACATCTGAGGCGGCATCGCTGGGGGCCCGGGCAGCCGAAGTCTGGCTGTGTGCCCTTGAACAGCTCAGTCTGAGCCGCTGCAGGCCGGGGGATGTCGGGAGAAGGGGATGTGTGTGTGTGTGTGTGTGTGTGTGTGTGGGGGGGGCTACAATTACTGCTGCCTCTGCTGTGGTCTGGCTTCAAAGGCCTCCACCGCCACTCATATTCACCGTCAGGACAGAGGAGAGGTGCAGGAAGAGGAGGAGCAAAGAAAGAGGGAAGAGAAGAGGCAGAAAATGAGTAAAAAGAAGAAGAAAGAGGTTTAGCCTCCTTTAACAATGGCTAGAATGAGTAGAGCAAAAATAAATAAATAAACAGGGCTTCCTTCAGTTCCACAGTCTGTTTCCTGTCTGTGTTACGTGGGGGCCTTTAATTCAGAGATAAGCATTTCACAAGGGGGGCATCTTATAAGGTCACATATCTCCACCTCTTTCAAAAAACGATGCAGTGCCTCTAGGAGCCACGGGGGTGAGGGGGGGTTAAAGAGGTACAGACGGAGAGAGGAAGTGGAGAAGACATCACAAAAAACCAAGAGACTGCACCCTCATACTGTTACTGCAGCTGACCAAACCACAACACAATAGGCCCGTGACTCAATCAAAACAAATGTGGAGCCCCAGTCTAAACAATGGGAGCACTGGAGCTGCGTTTCTCACGTGTAAACAAAGACCTTTAAGAGGGCTATACCCCCCCCCCCCCCCCGAAGTGTCACATCAGGTTGCCAGGCCAGGATAGGACAACCATGTCAGTGTAAAAGATTTGTACTTCTAAGCTAAAACCACACACTTGAATTACATGGAGTTTGACGTCCTGCCGCCCTCTGGAAGTCCATATACTAAATGCTGAGAGGGTCATTTTTCTTCACAGAACAGGCTTTGTGGAGGTCAGGGGGAGTGAGAGAACGGGAGGACTGTTGGGGTGAGTATTTCCTACCCACATAAACATTAGCTGGGGGGGGGGGGGGGGTGCTCTGATTGTTTCAAGCCTAAATCTCTCTCTCCTCCACCTCCCACTCATATTTTTTTTTTTAATGTGTGTGAAAAAGTACAGTTTTAAAAACATCCTCTCATCTCCTGTGCCCTGCTCAAAGCGAGACCCAGAGTCTGTTTTGCAATCCGGATTCCTTCCCCAATTATCCCAGGTCACTAATAAGGCGGGGTGTGGAGGCACTGGGCTGTGCCGCAGTGGCCTACAGGCTCGGTGCCAAATTGAAACGACTCGGGAAATCGAGGCAGACGCTGGATCTTGCCTAATTGCAGGCGGAGAGTGTGGCTGGCTGCTCAGATGTGCGAGAGAGAGAGAGAGAGAGATAAATGTGCAGCGAGTGATGAGGGTCTCAGAGAGAGAGAGAGAGAGAGAGAGAGAAGATGAAAGATGACAAATAAAGAGAGAGAAAAGGGGAAAGAAATGGGAGATGGAGACTGAAGGATGAGTGGCAGTTGAGAGAGATTGGGTAAACTGAGAACTCGAGAGAATGAGGGATTTTCTTTTGGTCCTTTTCTTACGCTCCCTTTTTCCCTTAGATGCTCATACCCTCCTCTCTCCTCTTCTTCCCTCGTCGCTCATCAAAGTCTTCTGACAGCTGACTTCTGGCTGCACACATCAGAGGGAGCAGAGCCAGGGCACGACTGAGAGAGAGAGAGACAGAGAGACAGAGAGAGAGAGAGAGTGAGAGAGAGAGAGAGAGAGAGAGAGAGAGAGAGACAGAGAGAGAGAGAGAGAGAGAGAGGGGGAGACCACCAAAGCTCCCCATTTGCTTTCATGTCTCTGGACCAGGACATGAGGTATGAGGGTAGAAATGACCCTCGCTTTACTTACCAGACTGTACAAATTGTAAAGCATCATTTTTAAAAAGATATCCTGGATCATGTGACTAAAACGCAGCCTCTTGCACAAGTATTTGGGCACATCGGCTTGTAGAGACATCCATTTTGTTTGACAACAAAAGAGCACCTTCATAAGAGTCCGAGCAAGATGACTCAAATGCAGTTTTAGGACAGTTCGCAAGTGTTGGCAACTCCACGGCCCTCAACTTGCGAGATTAAAAGGCCACCTTTGTTAAAAGTGTCTCCCCCCTGTGAAAGAAATGTGCGGTGGCTGAAGTGGGAGAAAGCCTCGAGGGCATGTCCGCGTCTCGGGCCAGATAACTATCTCAAAAGGCGGTGAATCAGCGGGCTTAGTCAGACAAAAGGCGAACAGCGTGAGAGGAAGCAAGAGGCAGAGGAACTAAATAAAGACGTGTGCAGAAACAGTGAGGAGTGGAGTGAAACAGTCAGTGGAAGAAAAAGGGGGGGGGGGCTGGGCCGTGGGGTGATGATGGGAAGTGACGGAAACCCTAATTTCACATTGTCAGAGTAATGACTTCTCGGAGTGCTTGTTCCACTGTGGTGAGAGCCAGCTGTGTGGCGGGCCCAGCGTTTGACATGCTAACGATAACAAAGAGAACCAACGTCAGGCCATGAAACACTGCTCGACTGCTCAGCTCCTGGTTTGCCTCACGGGCAGAAAAACTAAGCAGAAGCCATCAAATATGTTGATATGAAGTCGTATTAAGTGACTTTTCCCTTCATAAAGTCTACCTGGACGGGAGCATTTTCACTGTGCTGAATAATCTTCATTGTGACGGTACCAGCACTATATATACAAATAAAACACAGTAAATGTTCACTGTATATCAAGCAAGAAGGTGTTGGAAGTTGTGTCTCCAAAATTGACTCATTAACAAATTTCCGCTCAGATTTTTCATGTGGCGAAGAGACAGGCCGGGTAGAGGCGAGGGCAGATGAAAAGAAATAGACAAACGAGTTCATTTAAAGATGTTTTTTGCCGTCTACAGCGAGCTAACCTCAATCCAGCTCTTTGGGATCTGCATAAATTGAGGGCTTGGGGAGTTGTGGCGGTATCCTCGGTATTATGCATATTAGTTTAAGGCTGTCACTGAGAATCAGCAAGGGTGTCCATCCCGCTGCGGCTAGGCGCTGCTAATTATTGGATCAGAGATAAAGTGCTTTTTAGAGCCCGCTCTCTCTGAGCTTTGAGAAACGACTGTGGCGAGAGAAAAAAAAAAAAAAAAAGGGAAAAGAAAAGCGGCCCAATTTTGGGTTCAGAGAGAGCCACCGGGTCAGGAATCGATCAAGTGGAAAACCTTTGTCTGGTCGGGATGATTTCAACGTAAGACCAGATTTGTCACATCTGCCCGGCTTTTTTTCTGCAAGCGAGAGGGAGCGGAACAACAGGATGCTACCAGGCTCGAGGGGGGGAGAGAGAGATCCAGAGAGAGTAAGGAAGACTGAAAATAGAGTTGCCTTTGCCACATATTGAGAACGTTAATCCTGCTTTCAACCCAAAAAAAAAAAGGAAAGGTGACATGCGGGTTTGACATGTCATCTGAATCAATATATCCCAGCATATCATTCACATGTGAAAAAAAAAAAAAAGCGACTACGGAGTGCCTTTGTTATGAAGGCATTATGTACACCCTGAAACCCCAGATACCATGAAATCGTATTAAGGTATAGCATCTCATTAAGGTCCTGCCAGAATCCTGCTCTGCCTCACAAAGATGCAGAGCGAGACAACACATGTAGTCCATATGGGACTGAGCGCTGACGTCTGCTCTGGGCTAGTAAAAGTGTTTTCAGATGTATTATTTGGTCCATGTTTAGAAAACACGGAGTGGGTGAGCTGTCAGATTTATTAAGCGATAGCTTTCAAACCTTTTTTGATTTGGATGTTTTTTAAGCCACAAAATGCTGACACAACATCTGACCTTTTAATCCAACCAGTGGTCGACACAACAACATTGGATTGACCCGTTCAACACACACACACACACACACACATGCACACACACAAACACAGAGAGAGAATCCAATGGGCATTGTGCTGAGGCCATTGAGCAAAAAGCACAATCCCTCCTCAGGCCTTAACACCACTGACACAATGACTATGGCGAGGTTAGGGTGGACCTTTTCAGGATTAGTCTGTGAGTACCTGTTCTCAAGTCAGTGTTTAGCCTTGACATGTATTGAAGTGATCAGACAGGGAGGGGATAGAGGGTTTGTCTTACCATATTCTCAGATGTACGCCGTTTTCATTCTCTGGCCTGTACCTGCAGAAAATTGCATCTTTTAAAAAAAAATAAATTGGAGGTATCTGGACGGCAGAGATCTTTACCGCCCATTTGGCCTACACAGTTTACAGACCCCAAAATACTGACATTTTACTTAAGATGTAATTCTCAATGGATTAGAGTTGCAGTGCTGAGAGGAGGCTCGTAAGCGCAGCTAAACAAGGTCAGCAGAAAGACACACTGTAGTGCAGCAGGCAAACAAATAGTGCAAAGCCCAGAGTTGGTAAGTTGTCGTATAGAATGGACAGACTAATCCCAAAGTAGGTGTTATTTGTGAGGACGGGGCAGTGGACAAATGGATGGTGGGATGTACACAGAGAAAATCTAGAGGAAAACTGAGTGAAGGACTCTGCTGCCTTCACAGAACCGAGCCAGTCTACTGAAGCCAGAGTGAGGACAGTTCTGCTACTTGTCAGTTTTATAGGCAATTGTCTCTGTCTACTGGGAGATTAGGTGTTCTTTTACAAGTTTACAGAGTGTGCATTTGTACAAACGTAGCAACAAATGCAGCAGTATACTGTAAAAGATGATGTGTTGTCTATGGAAAGATGTTGTAACTCACAACTTCAAAATGCAACGGACCAAAAGAAAAAAAAAAGAGAAGGAACCGGAGGGATCATTGCTCACCTGGGGCGGATTCCTGCATCTTCTCCCTCTTCCGCTTCTTCTTCTTTCCCTAAAAAATATACAGAGGAACACATAAAGTGTGGCTCCAGCACTCACGCTCACTAGACCACTCTGATATCCTGCTGCTGACTGCCATGTTCACTCATCCCCTGCTGGGCATCCAACCAGCATCCCCCGGACTCCGGACTCTGCCGCAAACTGCCGCGCTGAGAGGGACGCACCAAGAGTGTCAGTCTGATGTGAAGTGTGCTCTGCCTGCTTTCAGCTGGCTCCAAAATGACTTAATTTCATACATTTTTAGGCCCTTTTTTGGGGGGGGGAGTTGTGAGAACGCAGGCAGCTCGTCCTGCTGCTGTGACCCGTCCGTGTCACATTTCCACTTCCTTTGAAGTCCCTCAAATGACAAATATTAACATGAAGTGCAATTAAAAATGCTCACTGTAATTAGGCTAGTCTAGCTCAATGACTGTTAAGAGTGCCACTCTTCTTTTTTTTTTCTCCAGCGAGGTGGTGGGAGTGTGTAAGGATTTATAGCTTATGCTAAATCCCCAGGGGGGAGACTATAGGTATAGATAGCAGCGCAGAGTCGTTCTAGTCAAATATGAGCAGCACTTTGGTTTCCTGCTGCAAAGTCTGCTAATCCACTTATTCATGAGCTAATCTGCCTTCTACTGCTGCGGCAGACAGGACGAAGACAGACTAAGTGAGAGTGGGTGAGAGAAAAGGATGAGAGAGGGGATACACAGCAAAACTGTGAATGCCACGCGCTCTCGTCCATGCCAGTGCGCTACTTATTTTTGGGTGTTTCCAGGCATGATGTGCTGCCTGTGTACAGATGTTATTTTGTGGGAGGGGTCGCAGAATAGCACTCTCAGGGATACTAAATGTGCTTGTAAGAAACCTATCGCTTCCCTTTATCTCTTTGGTATGCCAAGTAAAAAGCCATTCCTCGACTCTTTATTTTTTCTTCTTCTACCCGTCAAATATGTTTGTACTAACAAAGCTGGAACTGAGCTGACTGTCACGAGCTGATGTTGGGTATCTGTAACTGTGCTGTGCTCCGCTGGTATAGCAGAGCTGTAAAGAGCTGTCTCCCCTCTCAGCGAGGCATTTTGGCGGCGGAGCGGTGGAGGCAGAAAGAGGGGGGGGGGGGGGGGGGGGGGGGGGGGGGGGGGGGGGGGGATGCTGTCGATGTCCGAGGGGAGGCAGATAAACACCACAAAGCACTTTGGTGGTGGAGTGAACGTGAGTGCCGGAGCCACACTTTTAATAAAGGCTGGTGCTCTCTCTCTCTCACAAATTCATACACGCTCACACACACACACGGAGACAGAATTGACAACTTCCACGCAAACACACGAACACGTAGGCATGCACACCCGTGACATACACCAAATAAACAGTCCGCGTCTTAAATGCAAGCATTCACAAACAACATGGGCAGCTGGAGGAGCAAAGGTTGCTGCTGCTGAATGCTGCATGTACGATCCGGCCTCAGTCTAACAGGTGCTTTTTACATCCAGAGCCCCATGCTGATATGGAACATCAAAGACTAGCATAACCATTACCAGGCAGTTTCCACTCTTTGTGGCAATGATAATGTCCCCGGTACTACGATCCTTTTACTGCGGATGGTAATATAATCACAGTTTTATGAATTACACATCAGGCTGAAACAAAAGGGTCCACAAATGGACCCCATTAGCATGGAGCCGACTGTTGTGAATTAGTGTGTGTGTGTGTGTGTCACTACCATGTGTTGTGCAATGCTGACATAAACAAACAACATAAATCAACATTCACACGCACGCGCACCTCTGCCAATCTGTTCTGTTGATACTTACATAATTATCTCGAGCGGACCAGCCTGGGTAGAGCTGCATGTGGAGCTGCCGTTCCTTGCGGGCTAGCTCATAATACTTAGCTTGCTCTTCCCGAGATAAAGCATGCCACTGTTTCAGTACAAAGGAGATTAGGGGGGGGGGGGGGGGATAGCATACAGTCAATTACTGGCATGCAATTGCATGTTCCCTGCATAGAGAAGTGTGCTGGTGTTTTGGTAAAAAAAAATTCTTCTTTTCAACTTCCAAACGTTTGGTGTAGAAAGAAAAAGGGGATAAAAGAGAGAGAGAGAGAGAGAAGAAGAAGAAGAAGAAGAAGAAGAAGAAGAAGAAGGGGGACACATGATGAAGAGATTAACATGCACCAGAGTCAGAGGGAGGCAGAGAAGGAAAGAAAAAAAAACTTTGATTTCATATCAAAACACTGGTTCCAATTTAGCAGCGCGTTTTATTCAAACTATGTCAGCGAGCAATTACCCGATGCAGGCCACGAACTAGGCTTTGCTGTGGCTGGCTGCCTCGACCGTTGGGCCTATTCGTTAAGGCTTTTAACATGGCTCTGTGGTCCCGCTTCCTCAAAAGGAACAAATTTGGTCATTTCCAACCGTGCCATTATCCAGGCATATTTTATTAAAGCCAATTTGATTAAATGTCAGCGAGATAGGCAGTCTGTATCTGTGCTGCTGAGAGGGAAGTAATTGGCTCGGGCAATCATTATGACAATAATCACAACTAGTTCATAAAAGACTGTATGTTCATAGAGAGAGGAAGCTTTGTACTTTTAAACTAATTGGGCCTGGGAAGTCAGTCCACGCGGACTTGTTAGAAACCTTGGCTTGAACTGCGATCTCCCGGTGATTTAACTCAATCAAAAAAGATCGACTACAGCGACAAAGAGACCGGGATGGGTCCCTCGGTGTATGCAGACTATGTGACCTACCCTTCGTCCCAGGATCTGGTTGATGGCAGCGCTCTCCTTCAGCGTGCACTCGGCGACCACGTTCGCACGCATTTCTTTCATGTAGAGCATGAAGGCGTTTAGCGGCTTCTTGATGTGCGGTCTTTTGGGCTCCTGCTCCTTTCTCTGTTCGTGCTGGGGCTTCCTGTAAAGACAAACGACAACAACACAGATGGAGGTGAAGAAGAGGAGGAAACAAATGAGCTGGAGCATGAGAGAATGAAAGCGCAGAGCAACAGAGGAGGGGGACATTGTGGTGCCGTTATGGCGACACAAGCAGCGAGGGTCTGGTTGCTCTCAGCCAATGGCGAGGCACGCAATGGGGCCCCTGCCTCTTTAATCATGTGCAGTTGCACAGTCGCGGCCCTTAATGCCGAGAGATTACTTCACCAGTAATGGCAGCCAAACCTTCTCGTCCACTGCATATTGGCACATCGCTTAAAGCCAAATGCTCGCACTCCAAAAAAAACTCTGCTCCCACTACTGACTTACTTTCTAACAACCTTTTTGGTACTAGTAAAGTCTTGGTGCTGGGATGGCCATGAATAATGGAAATATCAGCGATAACCACTTCAGGGTACTCACAGCACTTCCCACTGCACACACTGGGGATGTGAATTCATTTCATCCGAGCACTAATCTAGGACCTGTATCTGTTGCTGAGTGCTAAGTGTGTTGTGATCCCCGGGGACAAATGAAGCATCGGCCTGTTATCAGGAGAGCACGTCGGGCCCCCCTCGCTGCTTATCTGCTCACATCAAGGGAATGAGAACAAGGCTCTGACAGCGATGGCCTACTGTAGCGGTGGTGGGCACGGATACCTGGAGGTGTGTGAGAGTGTTTGATGAAGGTATTTTGTGTTTGCAGGACTCACATGTGCATGATGTCTGTTTCATGCAGAGGCTCGTGTTTGACCTGTGGGTTGACGATGGCCGGGTGGGGGATCCCTGTGGCGTGGGGACCTTGGGGGCCGGGCACCATGTGGTGTGAGAACCTGCAATAACAGCAGACAGCAGGCTTTGGTTGATTAAGAGAGGACCAAGAAGGACAGTAGCATGGAAAGGGTCCCCTAAAATGTCAAGTGACTGTAGGTGCACACTTGCAACAGCGTACACAAACAAGGAAAGAGATCCATCAACACATGTTTATTTTCTTGATGATAAATGCTTAATATTGGTATTGGCTGTGGTAGCTTGTGTGTCCAGTTATTTTAGCTCTAGTTCTTTTTTCAATATTAGAGCAGAGGGTCACGGTGGTATTGCTTCATATTAAGGAATCACTGTTTAAAGGTTGGGTATGCTTTTTATGATAATTGGAAATGTTTGTTTTGCACTCGATGCCATTGTGCGTCCAAAGACTCGTGGTTGGGAGAGTTTCCATGAGTTGTGCTTGTGTATGCTTTTTCTTCTCTCCTTTGAGAACAATGAAGATCAAGTGAATTAAGAGGACCTGACAAGAGAAACGTCATGCGGTCTTCAGTTAAAAAAAATCTGTTTAAATTTTTAGAACGGCTTTGAATATCTATTTCTGCTTAACAAAGGGGATGTTTTTATAAATGCTTTTCTTTCCTGGCTCAAACGTTTTGAGACCCTTCTTCTGAAATAATACTAAATAGTAGATTTTGTTGGTTGTCATCAGTCCATCAGTGGGAACACACTTCTGCTGTGGTTGTGTTTCAATCAACTGGTTGCTGTTTTTCAAAAATGTTCGTTTTAGAAAGAAAGATTCTTGTGATTCAGCAATGTTTAGTACTGCAAACACAATGCTTCTTCAGTACATGGACTTGTTGTGGGGCACAACTATGACCAAGGATCCTCAGCAGGAAAAGTAGGGGGGAAAAAGTTCTTCAATTGGAATAAAGTTCCGCAAACTAAAATATACCCCAAAGTCAGACATAAGGAGGAGGAAAGCAGAAGTTGAGCCTCATCCTACATCTTACATCTGGCTTCACTCAGTGTATGCCTGAAGCCCCGTCTTTCTGAAACATCATGATGACAGATAAAGAAAGAGATAGAGAGACAGAGAGGAAGAGGGTAAGATATGTCGAGAACAAGTACAGGAATGGCAGTGACAAGGATACAGAGAGAGAGAGAGAGAGAGAGAGAGAGAGAGAGAGAGAGAGAGAGAGAGAAGTACTTCCAGGAAGCTTTGATGGGGGCTAAGCAGCCATATGGTTATGCCGGGGCATGTATGCGGTGATGTGTTTAACATGCGCTGGGCACACAGAGGAGCGGTGTGGCTGGAAGCCGCAGCAGGAACAGCCAGAAGCAGACCTCCCTGTGTAGGCTGCTGCTGCTGCTGCTGCTGCAGGCCAGCATTCCTCCATCAAAGCTAGCACTGTGTCGGTGTGCGTCGGATGGGAAGGGACGGGATCGTAATGGCTCCTTGTTTACACCAATCAACTGCACATGCTTTCGTCTTGTCTGACTCACCATCCCAGCGGTGGCGTGAGCTGCCCGACTCCTCCGGGAGACAGGGAGTAGAAGTTGGTCATGTCTGGTCCGGGGTGATGCCTCTGCATTCCTAGACACGCAACAATGGTACACAACCGTTAGAAGGTGTTCAGGTTACATTTTTCACTTACACGTCGGCATCCTGCGGATCTAAGTACAAATCGAAATGTGCCTTAAAAGGCGGCAGAACTACAGCAGCTCCGGTAGAATAAGGAACAACTTCATTGTTAGATCAATGTGTTTCCGTTTGTGGCCTTAATAAGGGTCATTAAAAACACATTGCAAAGAAAAACAACGTTTAAATAGGATGAGCATGAATGAAAAAACTTCTAAGGATATAAAAGATCATACACAAACAGGACAAAGTACCAAAAGTTTGTAGTGAATGCTTTGTCAGGTCTTATATTCTTTGAGCTGATTATGATTTCAGTCACAACTTTTCCAATTGTTTTGTGTAATATTATTGACCTTTAAAAGCCATTACTCTTTTCCCACCTTCCCGTCCTGTTCCACTACAAGTCAAGGACAGTGCACGATGTCGGAGCTTGAAAGTCACATTATCAACCCCCGTAAGAAAAGGATCATATTTCCCCCGCTTAGCTCGAGTCCTTCCAGTGTGTCTCCGCATCTTTAAGCTGGTTAATTGAGGCTTCCTCTTTGTGGCAGAGGCTGCAGCTCTCCCTGTAGACACGGGATTGACTTGGACTCACTGCCGGTGGATCTTCAGGACTAAGCTGCTCCATCTCCAGCTCGTCTGCTCCGACTGGCTTTCAAGGTTGAGGGGTCCCTTTTTTTTTGGTAGAAAGACTTAACTGGGAATGGGGCCGTAAAATGATTAATATTTAACTCAATCTGAAGCAACTCATGTCCTCATGTGAGACACCTATTTGTTTTGTTTTTATTTTAGAGCAGAGATAGTAATAATAAGATGGACAGTCAGTAGATATCGGGAAACACTGTTCACACACATACAAGTGCAATGTGCCTACATGTGTGCTCAAACACACACACACACACACACACACACACACACACACAAAGAAAAGAGGCCAAATGCCTCCAGATTAGCACCGTCTTCTAATCCCTGCTGGAGCCAGCCTTTTCTCCCTGCCTCTCTATCTTTTCTCTTCTTTCTCTCTCCAGGCTGTGGTCTGAAGGGGCCTCCCTCCTCGGAGAGGCAGGGTGAACGGGGGGGGCTTATATCTCCAAAGCCAATGTTGCAACGCTGGATTCATAGCACGCATAGCACTACCCCCTGCCAACTAATCCACCACCTAACGCTCCTGAGGGCCCTCCCAAGGGCAGAAGGGAAGGAGGCAAGGGGTGAGGCGGCGAGAGCCCCGGCGCGTTATCCTTGTCACTCACACCCCTAAGGTGGCTAATTACTCACTCCCCCATTCACATGTTCCCGTTGACGCCCAACAACAAGCAACACTAACACGCTTTCTCTTTGTAAAACCTGGAAATAATCTAAATTCAAATTAGTGTTCCCATGTTATGTTTCATTTTTTTCTTTTCAAAACAGTACACATAGAAGGTTTAAATGTAAAATGTTCAAAGCCCCCCCCCCCCCCCCACTCGACCTTCCTTCCATTGCATTGCAGCCCTTTGCATATTAGAGCTCATAATGAGAAAATCCATGATTGTTTTTCATAATTAACGAGCAGATCAAAGTCTGAGCCCACTAAGGAAGGCAGAGCAGCAATTGGTCGATATGAGAGAGCGAGAAAGAAAGGGAGAGAGAGAGAGAGAGAGAGAGAGAGAGAGAGAGAGAGAGAGAGAG